AAAAAAAAAAAAAAAGGAAGAAAGAAGAGGTCAATTATGCAGAACAGATTCCCACTTCAGGCGTCATCCCAATATTACTCCGCCACCTTGAGCAATACTGATAGTAAATGACACCTTTCCAGGCACCCGGCTTCATACGACAGCATCTATGACCGCCGACTCCATCACCCAACTAGGCTAAGCTCAGTAACACGCCCTTCTCAGCTGAAGTCCTTCCTCCGATGTCGCAATGATGCCGTTGTCTCATCCTTCGAGTGATCCTTCCAGCGCCATCATCAATACAAGCAAACGGCACGGTCCGGATTCCTCGCGGTAAGCATGTTGATAACCACGTATGTAACAATACTCGACGGAAGAACGGACCAAGAACCCTATATCTAATTCAAAAGATACGAGCGCTTGCAGCATTAGCTTGCATCGTCGACTGGATTCCGCAAATAGAATCTTGCATCGCTTGGCTTCTTATATTGCGATATCTCTTATCTGGCCCTAAAATCTTACGCAGATTACTGCATAAGGCTAACGTGAGGAGAGCTTGTTATATAGTTTATTCTGATATAGATCTGGGTATGGGTACTAGTGCTTATTCTGATTGATTACCGCTGGTATTTTTCATTTGGGTTTAATACCATACATACAATACTTCATACAGTCGGCTGTAACATGTCTGTTCAGGACTACAAAGCTGCAAGGATATGTATGGCGCTATTCGAATCCCCCAAACAGTCACTCAAATGGAGTGATTGGCATTTGGTCCCGTCATTGTCCCAATACTCAGACCCAGATAAACTGCTTTGGTGACCTTAAGAGCGATCTGTTAGACAACACCATGTCTGCCTCTATTGAGTCAATTGCTGCAGTTCCCTGGCTATGGCTGGGGATACTCGGTGCTGCCACTGTGCTGGCTTACCAAAATTGGTTCAGTTCAAAACTGAATATTCCTCGAATCGGGCCAAAGCCAACGCTGCTGGGAAATACGTCCCAAGGTGAATTCTACCAGAGGAGTGTTGAAATGGTCAATGAGGGATATGCCAAGGTAAACACCTGTATATGGCAAGATTGTGAGAAAAGAAAGGCTGACAGCTGGCAGTACAAAGATTCGCTATACTATATATGGACGACCAATATGGATCGGTTGATGATACCTGCAAAGTACATGAGCGACTTCAATCAAGTGCCGCGCAGCCATCTCAAGTTGACGGCCACTGTGCGATATTCGGGCAAATATACAGGAATGGACATTGCAGATGAAGGCTTGCTCGGATACGATGTTTGCGCTGGTCCTTTGTCGCAGAATATTGGTCGACTGGCACAGCCGGTCTACGACGAGATCGTACATGCACTCCGAGGAAAAGTCAATGAAGCAAAAGATGTCAATGGTAAGTGGATTGTCACAACCGGCAAGTCCAGTGGCTAATGTAAGGTAGGAGCATATACGGTCCCCATGTACTATACCATCCTAGAAGTCGTCACCGCCTCGACCGCTCGCATGTTTGTCGGACCTGATCTGTGTAGAGATCCGGAATGGCTGTCAACAGTCAGTGCCTACACAGGCGACATAGGTGCCGTGGTGAGCGACCTCCAAAAACACTACAAGTTCCTGCATCCAATCATTGCGCCGCGGCTCGAGTCGTACAAGCAGCTTCAACGGCGATTCGGCAAGATCTGCGAAATCCTCCTCCCGATATTCGAGCAGCGTCGAAAGACGGACAGTAAAGAGCACGCGGACATGATACAGTGGCTGATCGATACGGCCAAGGGCCCTGATACGGATAATACGCGACTGGCCAAGAGGATGCCCTTTTTGAACATGGCCGCTATCCATTCGACGGCCCACACCACAGTAAATGTCATTTTGGATTTGTGCCATCACCCGGAGTATATCCAGCCCATACGGGAGGAGATAGTTGAGGCTATCAAAGTACACGGTATCATAAAAGCTTCTACTCTGGCGAACCTGAAGAAACTGGATAGTTTCATGAAAGAAAGCCAGCGTCTGAGCCCGATGGATTTAAGTAAGTACTCCTTATCTTCTTCGCCTCCACATGTGTCTAACTGGTCAGTGCTATTCAATCGCCAAGTCACCAAACCGGTGACTCTATCCAACAATATCACCATTCCCAAAAATACCTTCATCTCGATGCCTATCTATCCCATGTGCAGAGACCCCGAACGGTACCCCGACCCCGAGACCTTCGACGGATACCGATTTTACAAGCTGCGCCAGATCAAAGAAGAAGCCCGGTACCAGTTTGCTGCATCCGACAGAGATGGGCCGGCGTGGGGATTTGGCAAATTTGCCTGTCCTGGTCGATTCTGGGCGGCAGCACAGGTAAAACTGGTGGTGATGGCATTGCTCGTGCAGTATGATATTGCATATCCTGAAGGTCAGACAGATCGGCCGGGGGATGTTATACTAGGCGAGAAACGAACTCCGGATCGGACGCAGCAGATGGTGTTGAAGAGATTAGACCCGGCTCCATCGCTGTGAGTAGTATCCAATATTACGATGGAGATGGTACCGTAGAATGGATTATCAATCATACCCCTACCACCTAGGTAATCTCGCGTAAGCATGGAAAAACAAGCAATAATCGTATGCGATGTTTATAGTTTAAGCCAATAGAAACTCAAGTTTACGACTAGGATTATATCCAACTATGAAATGCACCGGAAGTTTCTCATCCGGTTTTAGTTCACGGTCGTCCATAGTATTTATTGCCCCTCCTCCTCCCCCCGTTCGATCCATCATCAGCCACCACCAACAACAACCATCAGCAATATGGGTTCTCCTAAGCTCATTTTCGGCGCTGCCTCGTTTGGCATGAGTTTCGTCAGCCTTGAAGACGTGCAGGAAGTCCTGGACTGTCTCAAAGAGAACAATATCACCCACCTCGACACCGCCGGCAGATACCCGCCCACCTCGCCTGGGCGCTCGGAAGAACTGCTGGGAGAGACCAAAGCTGCGGCCCAGGGCTTCACGATCGACACCAAGATCCTCACACTGTCCCCGGACCATCAGGGCGAGTTGGAAAGAGCTGCGATCGAAAAGTCCATCAACACCAGTTTGCAGCGTATGGGTGTCGACCAGGTCAACACTCTCCATATCCACTTTCCAGACCTAGCCACTCCGTTGAAAGAACAGGCAGAGACGTTTAACGATCTGCACAAGGCTGGAAAATTCAAAAATGTAACATTCAAATACGTCCACAAACAAGACTATGTGAATACATAGCTAATGTCTGTTTTCTAGCTCGGCGTCTCGAATTTCCAACCCGAGTTGCTGCAGGAGTTCATCGACATCTGCGAGGCCAACGGCTTTATCAAGCCCACGGTCTACCAGGGCGACTACAGTGCCGTCAACCGGGGCATGGAAAAGAAGCTCCTCCCGATCCTGAAGAAACACGGCATCGCCTACAACGCATTCCGGTATGTTGTGCTCCAGCTCACCGTGCCGATAAAATACTGATAGAGCCCACGCTGCAGAGTCCTAGCCTCCGGCTTTTTGTCCGGCAAGCTCACGAATGGCAACGCCGAAGGAACCCGCTTTGACACCGATAGTCCCATCGGCAAGTTAATGCAGAGTCTTTACAATCAGAAACCACTGCATGATGCGCTCAAGCAGCTGGAGGAAACGACGCGCGCTCTTGACATCACGACGATTGATGCTGCGATGCGGTGGGCGTACTATCATTCCTCACTCGGTTCGAATGACGGAATCATCCTTGGGGCCAGTTCGATCAAGCAGATTAAGTCAAATGTTCAGAGTATCCGCCAGGGTCCTTTGCCGCAGGAGTGTCTGGATACGTTTGAGCGCATCTGGGAGACGCTGGAGCCGGTGAGGGGAGATATTATCTGAGAGGGGAGATTTCTGTAGAGGAAGAGAACACTGGACTCACATTTAAGTACGCATAGCAAGAGTATGAATATCAGACTTTGATCCATCTTACGAAAAGTTCGGCATAATCAGACCTATCATTATCGGGATATCTTCAACTATTCCGAGATGGGAGTTGACGGCCTCCACCTTTTGACATTCCGACATGAGTGTGCTATAATTAGCCCTCAGGATACTTTCAACGCACGAATAAACACAGATAAGATATGTATCTTGTGAGTTTACGAGAAATGCCGTAATGGCACCTATCGACTATCTATTGTATACCGACACAAGTATATAGCGAAGCAGCACTCTAAGCAATATTCTAAGCAGCCGATATCTTGAACCCCGAATTCTGCAACTTCTGGAACACCTGCTGCGGATCATAGCTGGCAGCGACAGCAGCGAACTTCTTGAAATTTTCCTCTCCGTAGCTCTTAAGCGGACTCTGCGAGACATCCGCGTCGTTCTGGAACTGGAAGTCGAGGTACTTGCCCGCGTCCGTAGCCAAGTTGGTCATGTTTTTCGTCATGTCGGTCGACGCTGCAAGGGCCGCTTTGTCATCTTTTTCGTCGAACCAGGCGGCGACGACGTGCCACCAGTTGGTGCTGACGGGTTTCATTCCTAGCCAGTTACCGCCGCGCTTGTCGCCTGCTTGGACGGCGGCCTTGGTGATGGTTTGGATGCCGTACTGCAGAGCGCCCTTGGTAGGAGAGGTGAAGTGTTGGCGGCTGATGAACGAGCCGTAGGCGCTTTTGTACAAGTCGAGGTCTGTCTCGTAGCTGATGGCAAAAGATAGATACCGGGCTGTGGGGGAGTTCGCAGTAAAGACGTCGACTAGCTTGGGAATGGTGCCGATGGTGGGAGGCGCAAGTGTCTGGACAGGCTTGAGAGAGTCGAAAGCTGAGAATACTGGGGGGTTGGCAGTGGGCTCCGCGTAGAGCAGACCAACCATCATGGTGCCGTTGCTTCCGGAGAAAAGGATACCGGCGTTGCTGTCGTCTTCCATCTTGGCTTGTGTGGCAACGATGGCAGAGAGGACCTGCTTGTAGTCGGACTCGTTATACTGGGCGACGTGGTACCAGATGTTGGTGGGAATGGTGTAGAGGGTGAAGTGAGTCACAATGCCATAGTTGGGTCCACCACCTTTGAGGGCCTTGAAGAGGTTGGGATGGGAGTTGGCAGTGGCGTTGACGATGGTCGAATTGGCCAGCACGACTTCAAACTGCTGGACATTGTCACAGGCAAAGCCGTATTTGGAGGAGAAGAACGGGATTCCAACTGGGCCCTGTTAGCAAGAGTGGTTGATGTACATTGATACATAAGCCTACCTCCTAAAATCAAACCACCAACGCCAACATCGCCAGAGCGTCCCCCAACGGCAGCAAGCCCGTACTTTTCCAAACCCTTGTAGACCTCACCCCATCGGTTTCCAGTTCCCAGCCGGACTGTTTTGTGGTCCTTACTGAGACTGCTCGAGTTGAGACGGCTCAGATCAAGTACCACACCGTCTTTAATACTGGAAAAACCGACATTCTGCTGGTGACCGCCACTGCGCGTCGCAAACTTGACTCCTAGCGTAGTCACAATTTTGAGGCCAAACGCAACATCGGAGGTCGTATGAGCCTCAAGAAAACAGGTCGACTTAAGCCAACAGGTTCCAGAACTTAGAACGATCAGTATGTGCCATTTTCATCTCTGTTAAACACATACATTGGTCGCTCCACCTCAGCCGCATAGTCAGCGCTGCTCTTGTCCGCGTATCTGCCGGGAAACAAAGTGGCAAACACATCGCAAGCCGTGACAGCATCGGTTTTACCGTGAGTAGAGATCTGCTCCAGCTTGTCCTTGTTCTTCTTTGCCAGTTCAACCACGGGCGAAATATCAGACTGAGGCTGCGTCTCGCCAAGACTGCCGGCCACATTCAGCAATTCTGAATACAGGGAATTATCGCCCGCAGCAGCTACATTGTTGAAATGTAGAACTGCAATCAAAGCCGCCTTGAGGCTGACCGAAGCGACACGCATTGTATCAATGAATAAAGTTCTCAGAGATACGAGAAGTAGATAGATGATCTCGATGATATCCAGACTGTCGCGAAGCCCTCCATCGGGAGCTCCGTTGACGGATCCTTTTTAAAGTCCAGGCCATAACCACGTAATCCAAAAAAAACCACCAATGTAAACCTGAAGGCATCTCAGCTTTGGCGTGCTTATGTCGTATCGGAGGAATGTATTAGTGTTGAGGCTATGCTGACCGTGTCAGAATCGCTGGTCTACCAGATACTCCACGAGTATAGCCTAGCCTCGGCGACTCCACCGCTTGGAAGTAAGCCTTGTGATCACGTAGATTGCATCCGCTGATGGATCCCCCCACAAAAAGGAAAAGAAAAAAAAAGAAGGAAAAAAGTGGGCATGCACTGTGTGGTCGAATACGGTGCATAGTCGGCCCCATTCACCACCTCGGTGGCAATGTAGCAATCTACCCAACGAAACGCTAGCATGAGAAGGATCAGAGAGGAGAAGCCTCCCCTTCTAGATAGGCTAAAACAACGAACATGTTTAATATATTTCGCACCTGCTCCCGTATCCGTATCGAAAGGAGGTGCGGAGAATTTCGTATTCCTGTTGCCTTGAAAGGAATCGTACCCCGGACCATGAAGGAGTTTTAGAGATTATAAATTGCGTTGAGGTAGGATCGTCAAGATTAAACAAGCTCCGGCGGGGGGGGGCTGCCCCGAGGTCTGAGCTCAAGAAGGATCAATATCCCAACGGTTAAGCAATGGGAAGTGGGGCGGCCCAGGATGATGCGTTCCTCTGAAGGATGGGAGCCGGTAATACTTTGATACAACGTATTTTACCGGAATACACAGAGCCCTAAACATACCGTAAGATGCGAAATCTACCACTAGACTAATCTGATCATGATACTTTTGCCCTACTGGGCTGCATAACCCCCTATCTTCATGCGACACCGGCTACTCCGAAGTGAGCCATATATGGCCAATGAGGATGTCTTTGTTTCTCATGCTATATTTTTTTAACTATGAGACTCAAGAGAAATTAATAGCGACTGGCTTTCCCCGCCCCGTGGCTAGACCTTTCGGAGCAAAAACCCGTCACCCTGTAGAGTCTGGAACACCTGCTCGGCGTCGTACTTCCTGCTCACCTCCTTCATCCGCGCGATGTGTTGAGCTCCGTAGCCGGTCAGAGGATCCTGCGCAAAAGTCGCATTATTCATAAAGACAAACGGCAGCAAAATGTCCATTTGCACTGCAGTCTCTCGCAAATAATCACGCAATTCGAACACCGCTCTTTGAACGCGTTCGTCGTCGTCTTCCTTCACCCACTGTGCCAGATAGGACATCCCTTGTGGAGTTAGCATAGGTCATGGAAGCGTAGGTCATGGTCTTACATTGTTGAGGCTCCACCGCTGTGTTCAGCGCGTTTCCTCCATTCTCCCGGCCGATCTTCATCGCGGATGTGGTCAGTGGCTGCACCACCATGCCCATATCACACCCAGTCTGTTCATAGAGCTCGTCCGTAACCTGACGCCAGCGGTCGTATGCCAGCGTGTAGAAGTCGGCGCTGGGTCGGGTGGTTATTCCAAACGCATCGCGTCTACATTCATCAGTTAGAAGATAGAAATACTGACACGGTATACTCAGACCAACCTCAGCTTCTGCGGTGTTCCTAGAACCCTGTTGGATGTGCTTTTGGTAAAATCGAGAATAGTGCCAATGGTCGACTCCACGAACGACGACTCATACGGAATGTCATAGAACATCTCGAATAGCGGAGGGAACTCCACAGGCGAGGAGTAGATCCAACCCAGCAGCGTTCGTTTGTGTCCGATATGGTGGATGATTGATCCCCGGGACTCATTCTCGGCAGCCTTTTGCCATTCCTCAATTGCCTTGAGAATCTGACCGTTGACCGAGGGTTCGTAAATACGGGCGGCAAACCAGATCTTATCAATTGGGACAGTCCAGTAGGTGAACTTGGTGACAATACCTGGCCAATTAGTCAAAAAAGCGAACGATATCCATGAAGGCTTTCTGGTCATACCAAAATTAGAACCGCCGCCTTTGAGAGCCCAAAACAGGTCCGGATTCTCCGTCCGACTAGCATTAACAATCGACGAGTCCGAAAGCACCACCTCAAAAGCTCTCACATTATCACACGCCAGACCATACTCGCTTGAGAAACTCGGAAACCCGCCCCCGAGGATCAGCCCGCCAATGCCAACATCGCCCGTGCGTCCACCGATGACAGAGACCCCAGATCCGTCCAGCGTCTCGTACACCTTCTGCCAGCGGTTTCCGGGGCCAATCTCCACAGTCTTCTTGTTCTGGCTGAGAACCACATCGCAGATGCGGTTCATGTCGATCAGGATTGCGTTCTCACCGGCGCTGGCCCATCCCCGATTAGGGTTGTGGCCGCCGCTGCGGATTGCAAAGGGGACTTTGAGAGTAGTGATGATTCGGAGGGCCTTGGCTACATCGTGCTTGTCTGCGGGCTGGATGATGCATGAGGGGTTCAAGTGACAGGTGGCGGACCAGTTTGCTTCGCATGTGGCGATGTAGGTTTCGGATTCGGGCCCTATCCAGCCGATGTTCTCGCGGAAGACGATCTTTGAGATGGATGATGCTAGCGCCACGTTCTGACCGGTGCTGCTGGTAGCTACCTGCTCAAGGCTATCGGTGACTTTGGACTGGAGTAGGGCCCGGACTTTGAGGGCCTCGTTGTTGCTGAGGTCCAGACTTTGGATAAATTGGTTGAATGCCATTTTGTTGATAGACGGACGAGTATCAGGTAGTACGGAAGAGAAGATACCGAGATGGGAAAACGCTCATACAACATGGATTACCGCGGTTGACTCAGAGTATCGAAACTTCTATACAAGTGTTTGTCGCGCTACTGTCTTGACTATTTTCTTACTCTTCTAAGCAGGATCACTGTCCCTGTATGTCGTGCAGAGCCGACCAAGGCGTAACGGCAGGATCCCGCAGCGGACATGTAGTGTAACCTACGTTACAGCGAGTATTTTTCAATACTCACAATACCGCCTAGTATTATGCCGTTCGATCGGAGTCAACGAAGCCAAGATTGCTTGAAATTCTGCAGGATGATCCCCCCGGCCACGTTCCTTCGAATTGTCTCATCTCAGCAATTACGACACCTCGTGTCTACCCTCTCCTAATTGGATATCTAGTGTCATATATTGCAACATCCGTATCTGGTTTTCTAGCTCCGCAAAAGTACCATCTTGTATTCATACGGTCACAGTCCAGCTTCTTCCAACAATGTTAATCATTGGCGGATTCCACGCCTGAACTGCATCCCCTGGGTCGTGCTCGGCGCAATCCGCTCATCGAGATAGGTATTCGCCGGACGCTTCTTCTGCTCACCGGGGAATTGAAACTCGTATTCGGTGATAAGGATGATCAGAAGGATTTTGATCATCCCGGCGGCAAAAAAACGCCCGGGGCAAGCAAACTTACCCATACCGAACGGGAGAGAATCGACGCTCGTGCTAGAAGAATTGCGCGTCAGGAGGGGCTGTGTCTGTGACGTGATGTTTCTTATCGTATCCCCACTTACCTGGCGAATTGGTGCTTGTTTGCCTCTGAGGGGGAGACACTTCGCTTCTGCTCGAAGCGCCACGGCTGGAACTCTTCTGGGTTGACGTAATTCGCTGGGTCCCGGGCGATTTCGGCGGATGGCATGGAGAGGAAGGATCCGGAGGGTAGTCGGACGCCGTTGGACAGAGTGATGGGTTTGACCACCTTTCGGTTAAAGGCCACTGGGGGCGGTTAGTGGGCTTACAGGGCAAATTGGGGGAGGTAAGGTGTCATACAAGTTCCGGGGTGGTTAATGCGCTGGGACTCTTTGATGAAACTGTCGAGTTTCTTCATCTTATTGATGGATGCCAGGGTGAGGCCGTCCTCCGCGATAGTGCGGGTGATCTCTTCCCTAAGAACGGGGACACAGTCATCTGCGTACTGGCAGAGATCGTAGAGGGTGTGTACCGCTGTGGAGGAACTGGTATGGATGGAAGCTAGACATAGAAATAGGATCTTGTCAGACAGTCGATACGGAGACTTGTCGGCGCCTTGAGCACTTTCCGTCATCCACTGCAAGAGATCCGACTGAGGTTTTTCTGGCAATTTATCTGCTCGTGCCTGGAGAAGAGGAATTAACATGCTTCGACCCGCCTGGATGCGAGCCTGAAGTCTTTTGCGAGATTGCAGAAAAATGTAGATGAATGGCCGTGCCAACCAGTGCTTGTCTCGTAGATCTTGCGATACTGCGAAGACATCGCCAGTGTAGCCAACGGCTGTTTCGAGCCATTTGGGGTCACGGCACAAGGGGAACCCAACAAAAGCCCGAGAGGTGACTTGGGCAACGCAGCCAAGAACGGTCTGGTAAACATTGACCGTTTGCCAACCTGAGCGGTTAGGATAGGATCAGATGGTAGGGCTGAGGGGCTTACTCTGTGTATCACACTGAGCCAACCGCTGGGAGAGAGCGTATTTCATTTCCTCATACATCACAGGAACCAAGCTTCCTTCTGGAGATTAGAAGAAAGTCCAGATGGATATTCAGAGCACATACCGAGATTCTGCTGCAATTGGTGGCGACAGACATCATTCTGAAGATGACTCAGTTGAATAATGTTCAATGTCGTGTATGAGCCAAAATGTCTCTCGCTCATGGCTTTACGCAGACTCAGAACGTCCTCGGGCAGGGAACGAAGCTCATTGACAAAGCGGTTGGAGAGAATAACTCGTTCCATGTCTGCGGTCTGTACGACGAAAGCGGAATTTTTATACTACACAAAGTTAGAGAACAATTGGAACGAATGGAATGATAAACGGGTTACATGCTTGTTTGTAACCTTCGCGAATGAGTTGGTATCCATTCCGAAGGAAGTCTGCACGAGCTGCAGCCATGCCAATCTCATTGGGATCTTTTCCCACTCTGGGGATGGCGATAGGTTTATTTTCTGTTTTCGATGGGACTGGCTTCTTGTCCAGCGCCCAGTAGCTGATGTTGGCAATTATTCCAGACAATAAGGCAAATATGAGTGCTGCTGAGAAGATCTCATCTAGGGGACTTGGGACCCCAGTTTGGCGCATTGTGAAGGTGAGATGGTCCAGTGTTACGTTCGCCGCAGTGTATAGAGAATCCATGACAAAGAGAAGAGTAGAAGAGGAGGGAAAATGAAACTGGGGGGTCGAGGGGGTTTTTATAAGTTTATTGAGCGTAAGGATGTGCTAAAAGGCGTGGAGACACGTCGATCTAAGTTGATTGCGAATGGAAGTACAGGCATTGTTCAGGCTGGATTATTTAAGATCATTACACACGAGGCACACATCAAATCATATTTTATGTAGGATTTAGATAACCATGCATAGAGTCCAACACCGATCATTGACATGGGATCTACGCAGACTTATACAAGGTAGGCACCTTGTCGTTCTTGTCCTGTCGCTTTCTAACGAGAAGCCTTGCAGCAGGGTCGGGAAGGACATTCTCATCCATAGTCAAGTTCTTGGGTCTACCTTGTCCCTCAGGATACTTGAATTCATAATCCAGCAGAATACGAGCGAGAATCATCTTCATCTCCAGTACTGCAAAGAATCGACCAGGACAGGCGTATTTGCCGTGTCCAAAGTGCAGATGATTCTTATCAGTCATGGGAAGAAGATGCTTGTTAGCCTCTCCGGGGTTTTGGCGCTTGCGATAGAACCGCAGAGGATCGAACTTGTCAGGCTCCGGGTTGTTCTCGGCGTCTAGCAGAATTGGCCCCGACGCAACAGCAAAGTGCGTACCCTTGTGGATCTGGACTCCATCGGATAGGGTAATGGGTTTCATGGCAGTGCGGTTAAAAGCCACTAAAGCGGTCAGTGTGACTCCTCCGTAACGGGGAAGAATTCTTACAGTAGCTGGGTGGGTTGAGGCGCTGGGATTCTTTCATCAACGATTCGAGCTTTCTGAATTTACTCAGGGTCTGCTTTGCCATTCCACCGTCTTCAATCAGGACGTTCTCAACCTCCTCGCGCATCTCGGCGATGTATTCCGGGTTGGCTGCGAGATCATACAAAGTATGAGTTGTGGCCATGCCTGTCGTGTGGATCGAAGCGAGACTGAGGAGTAGCTGACGATGAGCGAGCTTGTTGGGGTTGGCTTCGTTCGCGTCCTGAGCCATGCCCATCATCCACTTGAGCACCGTATCATCACCCTCGGGGTTACTGGCCGCAATATTGACAGCATGCTCCTTGACAAGGGGGACGATCAACTTCTTTGCAGTCTTGAGGTCGTTATGCACACGGTACCAGGAAGGCAGGAACCAGACAAGGAAGGGGTGGAGAAATGTGGGCATCATCCGTAGAGCGAAAGCCGTCATGAAGAGATTCTCGGTGTAGTGGATTGAAGTGTGTAGCCACTCCTCATTACGGCACAGAGGGAGTCCAACAAAGGTTCTAGCAGAGATCCGGGCGATTATGCGCAACATGATATCGCCAATCTGCACCTCGGTCCAATCTGGATTTGTTAGCGACGATCATGAAGTTCGGGTTGCTTTCTTACCATCCGATTGAGGCATTTCAACATCAAAAGCAAAGTCCATCTCTTGCTGAACAATGTCCATGTATTGAACAAGGTTGGGTGTCAACTTTGCCTGGAGAACCCGAGTGTGGAGGTTCCCTTCGAGCATCAGGTCGGCCGTGGTGTATTTGCCCATGACATTCTGCAGCGGTCAGATGTGTTTGAGCAGGAAAGGCAGTGATCATACCTTGATGTGCGCATGAATGGGACTGATGATGCTCTCTGGTAACTGGCGGAGTTCATCGACATATTTGTTGGAGATGATGAGAACATCCGAGTCCATACGACGAAGCTTAAACATGCTTCTTTTGAACTACATATCATCAGATATATACAGCCCAAATCAAGAGATATACTGACCTTGTTGTAGCCGTCTATAATGATTGGCCTTGCACCAGTAATGAACCGCATCCGTAGCAGGAGAGTTGGTTCCCAAGCGCTACGGTAGCCAGCATAGGGAGCCTTGACGGTTTTTGGGCTAAAGAGCCATGACACAAAGGAAATGATGGCGATGCTACCCAGAACAGTGAATCTCACGTTCCAGTCATTCCTCTCTTGCCAGCCATACTCCACCAACTCGGCAGCGTCTGCCAATCGGTGGGATAGGGTTTCGTGCAAGGAAGCCATGTCCTAATGAGAAGCAGGGGAAGATAAAGCCTTGGTCAAGTCACAAGAATTGCACAAAGGTTCCAAAATGAAACAATTTTAACAATAGAGCCATCAAGAGCTCAAGTATCCGGTTGGGAACGAGGGGTATTGCTGCCCATTATAAATTAATCTCGTGTATAGCAGTCACGTAGGCGAGTGAAGTGGATGCGAGGTGAATCCATCCTTGATGCCTTAGTATATTACACCAGCAATACGCGAAGTCAAGCCGTAAGCTTGCGTTAGTATAAGATACCTGAAATACCGAGATAATACGCGCGTTGTATTTCGAAATCTTACATCGAAGATCACATTGCGTAATCGGACCAAAAGTCTAGAACCGGGCGTTGCTTGATTTGGCAGATAACCAAGACACGAATCCAGTGGGCTTCGGCTAGCCAGTAGCCACGGCGTTAATGCTAATGCTCCGTGTGCTTCTTTGTTCCTCCAATTAGTGGCGATGCTGCATCTACTTCTCACCGAGAGGTGGCAGGGCAACTACTTCAGCTCAGAACTTCGACCTCTGGGGGCCAAACCCCAGCTCATCCTGCTCAGGAACTATTATATGTTATATATAGTAGCACATGGTATAATGGGGCTATGCTCAATATAGAGGAAATGAAATGCGAGAAGTTTGCTGGTCGCGCGTATTTTGACATGATAGCTACACAAGGATCCAGTCCCCAGAAATCCTCAAGATCCTGTCTATAGCTTTTACCTCAGACTTGAGTTTCTCTCATGGCTTCCAACGCAGACTGTATTACCAATTTACCTAGCGAGGTGCCGTTGGTCGGCCTATCTGAGACAGACAAGGCCGCCGTGGCACCTAGCGATGAGGTTAACTGGGATGGTCCGGACGATCCAAAGAACCCGTTGAACTGGTCGGAGAAGAGGAGGCTGATCTCAGTAATCCTCATCAGTATCGTTGGGTTTTTGACGTACGTGACATTGATTAGAACTACGATAGACCACTGATTCTAGATCCTTAAAGCCCCTTTTCGTCCTCGGTATCCGCACCAGCTACGGCCCAAATTATGAACGAATTTTCCAGTTCTGACGAGACATTGGAAGGCTTTGTGGTGTCTGTCTTTGTGCTTGGCAATGCGGTCGGCCCTCTGTAAGTGCGAATAAGAAGAAAGTCGCGAGTCAGGCTAACCCTTCAGACTGTTTGGACCCGCATCGGAGGTCTGGGGAAGAAGCATCATTCTGAACAGTTGCAATGCGCTCTTCGTCGCTTTCACAATCGGCTGTGCTCTGGCAACTTCCTTGCCTATGTTGATGGTCTTTCGATTCCTATCTGGCTGTGTGGGCGCTGCTCCAGTGGCCATCGGTGGAGGAGTCATCGCGGATTTGATACCAAAGGAACGACGAGGGAAGGCGATGGGGATATTCACGACTGGATCCTTGGCCGGTCCAGTTGTGGGTCCGATCGCAGGAGGATATCTTGCTCAGGGCATCAACTGGAGATGGTCATTTTGGTTGGTGGTTATAATTGTCAGTCTTTTGTGCTTTGCTTCTTTGAATATACTGACGATATGAAGGGGGGTCTGGTATCAGTCCTGGTGTTGCTTTTCCTGCGAGAAACACACGCCCCAACGGTTCTCAAGTGGAAAGCGAATAAGATACAGAAGCATACAGGAGGGACGATTCTGAGAGTGCCTGGGATCAAGGATGAGCCGTTGAGTAGAGTCTGCACCCAGGCAATTGTCAGACCAGCCAAGATGCTCTTTCTCAGCCCTATCACCGCATCCTTGTCCGTGTATGTGTAACCTCTCGTCAAACCGTGATCCAAATCATGCTCATAATACGGTAGTTTCCAAGCTCTCGTCTTTGGCTACATGTATCTGATGTTTACCACCTTTACCCCCACCTTCGAGACCAAGTATGGATTTTCCCTCGGGGAGTCTGGGGTCGTTTATCTTTCGCTTGGAGTGGGAATCGCCATTACAGCGTACGCCGTCACGCAATATAGCGACAAGCTCATGCTTGCCAGAGGGGTCAAAAAGAACCGTGAAGGACGGCCTGAAGACAGGTTGCTTCTCATGAGCTACGGTGCTCCAATGGTGCCTATTGGCCTGTTGTGGTACGGGTGGTCTGCTCAGAACGAACTGCATTTTATGGTGCCGATTGTAGGCATCGCCTTTGTCGGATTGGGTATCATGAGTGTGTCGGTACGTATGCAGAAGGATTTAGTCTGTAAGCCGTGTTAACAATCTTGATAGCTGCCTGGAAACCTCTACATGGTGGACACCTTCACCAACTACGCTGCCTCCGCTCTGGCGGCTGTGACATTTCTTCGTTCAGTAGCAGGGGGCTTGATTCCTCTGGCTGGCCCACCCATGTTCAATGCTTTGGATGTTGGCTGGGGCTGTTCCACTCTGGCGTTTATTGCTGTTACCTTGTGCCCCATTCCTCTGTTACTTACGCGGTATGGGGAGCTGATCAGAACGAAATTTCCTGTTCGTCTCTAGACTGTTACCGTCATTGCTATCTCGGAGATTTAGATCAGGCGTGTGACTCACATGCACGGGGCTTAATTTGAGTGTAGTTGTTTTTAATTTTTGACGCAACTAACATGATAATAAATTGCTCTCGCTCGTATAGATATGATGTGCTTCGTGATAGGCCACGACTGCTACGGGCTGCCAGGTCAGTTCCTGCTCGGTTAAGCATCTGGCCCACATACTCCAACAGGCTCTTCCAGGATGGAGATCCTGAGATAGGAAATCTACAAGGCTCAGGACTGAACGACCATGCCAATCTCTGAGTCAGACTGACGATCAAGTAAACCTTCATCCTGAGACAATGTATCTGACAGCGTATTGCCAAATGAAAAAAAGAAGACGGTATTTGGTTATTTGCACCTCGAGGATTCTGCAACCACAACCCCTGTAGGTTACACGTCAGTACTGACTATTTATTACCATTGGCGACGAGTGTCTGGTTGCCCCTCAATGCCACAGGGGTCCTTCTTCGTATGCACCTTGATATGTTAGCGCCCAGGATTCTGGGCTTGCGAGAAAATCGAGCAGCAGGGCGAAGGTGCCAAATATGGAGAATCAAGTAAGCCGATGATTACAACCTGGCAACGTATCTCCTAGTCTCCGCTTTTTATCTCCAGCGTAGGATTTATATTGCAAACAAGACACGGGGGCGGGGAGTGAGACAGACATCCCACTTTTCTATTCACAACTGTTTTGCTTATCAAGACAGGCCATACCAATCTATTTCGCTTTAACGACAGTCATGATGGATGTGCAGCAAATGGATGATTTTATCACGGCCCCAGAAGAGGTGGGCTACGCGCTGCTGGAAAGTTGCAAGGCTCCGTCCTCGCTGTGCGAGTATGGGGGCAAGGTGCAGCCTGTGGGCAAATATGAGATTCAAGACTTTCAAAATAGCCCTCCACAGGACCCGTTTGAACTGACTTCGTCGTCTCCAAACTCACGAGCTTCTGACAGCTCTTTGCCGGTTGAGTATCTAGAGGAGCACGCCGAGCATCAAGAGACCACCAATCAATCTGAAGATGAGATGAACTACTTCCTTCCGCCTCTTGAGCAACCATGGACGGAATATCTGGATAAGGTAAGTGGAACTCTTCAGAAACAATGTATACATGCTTATGACATAGTCCGTCAATGCTCCCTACCGATACGTTGCATCATTACCTGGCAAGGACTTCCGAGGCAAGATCCTGGCCGCGTGCAATGTTTGGCTTCAGATTGACAAGCACTCGCTGGCAACAATTGAGAGAGTTGTTACTATGCTTCACAACGCTTCTCTTCTGTAAGTCACGTCGCCTCCCAGTTCCGGCAGCCAGCTGATAAGAAAGAATCGACGACATTCAAGACGGATCGACCCTACGGCGAGGATCACCAGCGGCTCATGAAGTATATGGAGTTGCCGCGACAATCAACAGCGGAAACTACGTCTACTTCGAAGCCCAGTCACAGCTCCTTTCTCTGCCCCAATCGCTGAAACTCATCACCATCTTCAACGAAGAACTGGTCAACTTGCACCGGGGCCAAGGAATGGACATCTACTGGAGAGATACCTTCTCTGTCCCTACGGAAGCCGAATATCTGCACATGATCTCCAACAAAACAGGCGGCCTGTTCCGTCTGGCAATCCGCCTGATGATGGCAGTCAGTGAATCAGACCTTGATTTGCTCGAGTTTACCAACGTCCTGGGCCTCCTATTCCAGATCCAAGATGACTACAAGAATCTGACTTCGGACAATGTATGAATCTTTCCTGAGCGTTAAAACGTCTTACGCAGTGCTAACTCAAATCAGATGGAGGCAGCCAAAGGCTTCTGCGAGGATCTCACCGAGGGGAAGTTCTCCTACCCCATTATTCACGCCATTCACAGCGGCCGGGATGTCCACAGTGAGATTCTCAAAATCCTGCGACTCAGGACAGATAAGGACTACCTCAAGCGCCACGTGGTGTCGTTAATGGCCAATATCACGGGGAGTCTGGCTTATACCGAGCACGCAATAAGGGCACTGCATGCTTACGCCATAAAGCTGTTGGGAACTATTCAGCCCGATAATCCGCTGATGAGGGATATCCTGGATACCCTTGTTTGATGAAGGGAGAGGGGCAGGGAGACTTAGGGCATTGTCTCGTATAGATACCATGCGTATGTTTTCTAGTGCAATACACCGTTTTTCACGAATATTACACAGTACGTGTATTACAGGTACCCTGCTAGGGCTTACGTAGATCCGCGTATTCAGTAATTGAAAAATACTCGCCATCCCCTACGTAACAACCGGTGATCGGTCGAGTCTAGTCTATACGATAGAGACCTGCTGGTGGCAAGGATGAAGAGGGTTAGCAATGATTGCCCTGATATGGAGTATGGGGGATTATATAGGATTAGGCCGAATTCCTCAAGGTGCAATAGAATAGATAAAATATAACCAATTATCAAACATCTGTCCAGCGTCAGCTCTGGACTTTCCATTGTCAATCTCAGTGCACCAACCCATCTTGTTTTTTTTCTTATCTTCAATATGAGACCTCCAACATTCTGGTTACAATTGCAATCGCGCATTGACATCCTTCTCAAGAACCTCGCCGATGGCTGCTCCAGTCCGCACGGGCTGGGCTCCATGTCCACCTGCTGCTACGACACAGCCTGGGTCGCGATGATATCCAAGGAGATTGAAGGAAAGCGCACATGGCTCTTTCCGTCTTCCTTTGAGTATCTCATTGGCTCCCAGGCTCTCGACGGCGGATGGGGGGATGGGGCATCCGACATCGATGTGATCCTCAACACCATGGCAGGTCTGCTGGCTCTCAAACACCACCAATCCACACCAGAGCACGGCAACGTCTTGCAAAGTGATCTGGACAATCACATCCACCGCGCGATCTCCTTCCTAGAGAAAAAGTTGCAAACGTGGGATGTTGAGTCAACGGATCATGTCGGGTTTGAGATCCTCGTCCCCACCCATCTGCGCTTACTCGCCGACCAGGGCGTCACCTTCTCGTTCCCTGGTCTAGAGACCCTCATCAACCTCAATCAGACAAAGTTGAGAAAGTTCGTCCCCGAGTTTCTCTACAGCGACATTCCTACCACGCTCACACATTCGCTCGAGGCTTTTGCGGGACAAGTCGATTTTGATAAAGTGAAGCATCGGCTGGACTTTGGCAGTATGATGGCGTCACCGTCCTCAACTGCGGCATATCTTATACATGCTTCTCAGTGGGATGACGAGGCAGAGGCGTTCATTCGCGCTGCTGTGGAGTTCGGGGACGGGAAAGGGTCAGGCGCTGTGCCCAGCGCATTTCCCATTACCATATTCGAGCTGACATGGGTATGGCCTTATCATTGTTACGAGTGACATCCTGCTAAATATTTTTGCAGGTGATTTCGACCTTAATGGAGAGCGGTCTTTCCCCCATTGAAGAGAACAAAGGGCATCTCAACATCGTGGCTGAATACCTGGAGAAACATTTCCATCAGCAAAATGGTGTCCTGGGCTTTGGTATGTCATAGACAATCCACATGGTCTATATGCGAAAAGCTAACTTCTTAGTACCCACCTTGATGGTCGATGCGGATGATACCGCCAAAACCATCATCTCTTTAAACATGCTGGGCAAGCGAGTGCGGCCGGACCGCCTGATAGAAGTATTCAAGAATGGTGGCCACTTCCGGACGTACGCTGGGGAGCGAAACCCCAGCTTCAGTGCCAACTGCAACATTCTCAGTGCTCTTCTCCATAGTGAAGAGCCGTCTCAATATACCCGCGAAATTGAACTGGCTGTGCAATTTCTCTGTGATCTTCACAGCAGTGGTGATATGAGAGATAAATGGGTGAGTGCTTAATTCTATTGGTTTTCAATGAAGTCTGACTTATATTCCCAGAACACCTGTGATATCTACCCTCGAATGCTGCTCGCGCACGCGTTGACTGTCTTGCTCCAGCTGTGGCAGAACGGCTCACTGAAGGATCTATCCAAGGATCTCCTCCACAAAGTCCACATTGTCCTGTGGGAGATCCTTGTGCAAACTATCCAGGAGCAGCAGTCGACTGGCGCCTGGCACAACGGGTCCTGCGAGATCACAGCCTACGCGACTCTAACACTGGCAGCTGGATCCAACTCCCCGTTGGCGACCCTACTGGGTGAAAAGCTGCAAACGAGTCTCGTCTACGGACGGGCCTTCCTAGAAGCCAACATCAGCCAGTGGGACAAGGGCGAGACCATCTGGGTAGAAAAAGTCTCGTATAGCTCGGCAGTTCTCTCCAACGCCTACTGCATCTCCGCGGTCCAAGCCCCAACCTTTACCGGGACAGCCACAGGCGACAGCCTCATCAACATTCCTTCCAAAGCTATCTCCAAGTTCGCCCAGTTCTACTCATGTCTGCCGCTGTTTGCGAACGAGCCCAGCTGGCGCCTGCGCCTCTCCCTGATTGAAGGCTCACTGTGGTTCCCACGGCTCGCTGCCCGGAGACTCGATATCTTTCCTCGCACCAACATGGAAGAGGACAAATACCTACAGTATATCCCCCAAACATGGACCATGTCCAACAGCCTCCACAACGGCGCCCTCGAACCAGACCTCATGTGGGAGATGATGGTCATCTCCATGCTCAACTACCAGGCCGACGAGTTCCTCGAAGCTGTCGTCGAAGAGCACCTCATGGACCAGATCGACGCTGTCTCCGCCCTCGTCGAGCGCCTCTGCGATGACTCCCCTGCCGAGCCCGTCTTCTCCGACGTCGACGGACCAGCAGCAAACCAGCCCGTCTCACTCAACGGCCACCGTCCAGACATGCACTACGTAGAGCAAGTCCTCCGCCGCTTCATCACCTACCTCCTGACCCATCCCGCCGTCGTGCGCTCTCCTCCCTCCGTTCAGCGCACGCTGCGCCGCGAGCTCAAGGTCTTCATCCTCGCACACCTCGCCCACGCACAAGACAACGCCCGGTTCCGCGCGCAAACCCTCGCTACAGACCGCACCACCGAGTTCGCCTCCCCCCGCTCCTCATACTACTCCTGGGTCCGCTCCACCTCAGCCGACCACACCAGCTGTCCCTACTCCTTCCACTTCCTCAGCTGCCTAATCGCCAAACCGGGCGAGCTGGCATTCAAAGGCCCCCGCCAGAGATACCTCGCAGAGGACATGTGCAGGCACTTGGCGACCATGTGTCGGCAGTACAATGACTACGGCAGTATTGCGCGAGACCGCGCGGAGAAGAACCTGAACAGCGTCAATTTTCCTGAGTTTTGTGAGGAGGGTGTGGAGGGGGCGGGGTTGGGTCTAGGAAAGTCTGTCGTGCAGGTTGAGCAGAAAATGAAGGACGAGTTGATGTGGGTTGCGGAGTATGAGCGCGAGTGCTGCATGGCGGCGCTGGACCGGCTTGAGAATGAGACGGGGTTGGATAAGCGCACGAGGAGGATTCTGAGGATGTTTGTTGATGTTACGGATTCTTATGGGCAGATTTATGTTGCGCGGGATATTGCTAGTCGGATGAGGTAGATTTCTTCTGCGGTTTGAGCTGTGGGCGTGTCTTGGGTTGTTGTTGTCCTATAGCGGTTAAATCGACATCATTGGTATATTGGAGGGATGAACATGGGTAGATGTGATGAATGATAACTTTCGAGAAAGAACCTTCTGTGCGGATATAGAACGGGCATGGATAGCTAAACCCTGTGCTCCCCTGAGGCAAGATATTGAGTAAATCGAGTTAGATAGGCAACTCAAGGTAGAGTCCTCAGACTGTGAACATGCATGCAGAAGCGACATGACCCATATTTCTTTTTGAGTATTCCTTTCCTTCCGCTACAGGGAAGGGATCTATCCTGGTGGTGATATATGTATGTCCCGCCAATATTATCACTGCAATTGGTTGGCTGCAGTCACTTTGAGATCATAACCTAGAAAATCCACTAGGGCCCATAATATAAGGCTGTTTTTCATACAGTGCTAGAATTATGGTGTAAAACACGGGTTTCTGGGACAAATGGATGTCGTATGCTGTCAGGTCAGGAATACCTGCCGAGTTAAGTACAGTGGGATTGGCTAGTTACAAGTATTAATCATAGTACGGCAATACATGCTAATATTCACAGTGACCATATCAAGGCCAAAGATCACTGGTATCGCTGAGGGACCCGATGGACGACATCCCGACCCCGGTCCAGGACCATCCGTTCGGGGTCAGCAGGATCGTAATACCGCTCCTCTCGAGCCACCGGCCGGGCGGAGACGTACATCGGTCGTTCGATGTATTCCCTCGGACGACGGCTCCCGTCATCCAGGTACACACCCATCTCCTGCCCGGCAGGTCGCACGCTCTCCACCCGCTGGATCACTTCTCGAGGCTCCTCGTGCCGGGAGGTCGGCGGTCGCACGCTGGGCATCCGGACGATCCGTTCTCCACGCGGGATGTCGGGCTCTTCCACGTAAGGCACTTGCCGACGCACCGAGTAGTCGGCGACCTGGACGCTGTTGCTTCGGGGGTACGGCTCCCGATCGTCCATCGGCGTGGCGTACGGTCGTCGTTCCCCAAGGCTGGCCCCCAGACTCGGGCGTGCGTAGTCGGCAACCCGTCGATAAGCACTTGGTGGGGGAGGCATCTCCTGTACATACCTCCGACTACCGTATGGATCTTCCACGACGGAGGGCGCACGAGAGCTGGGCTGATGCATCGCTGGTGGACGGTCCTCGTAGATCTCATTCCTCGGCACGCGAGCCGTTGGTGGCGGGGCCATGGCTTGGATCCTCGGCGGGGGGCTCGCTTCGTAGTATTGGTTTCCCTGCTCATCCACGATGATCCTTCGCGTTGGTGCCGCCACAAGTCGGTTTACAGGCTCTTCCTCGTAGTATGCTTCCCGGTATCGCGGTGATGGCGCCTGCTCGCCCGCGGCTATGTAGCGTCTCGCGGGCTGCGGCGGTGGTGGTTCTTCATAATACCTGGTCCTTTCCTGTGGCGAGGGGTCGACAATTGCATAAGACGCCGCTCGCATTGCGCGAGGGCTGATTTGGTCAACATATTCCCGCTGATAATCAGGCTGTCGCGCGTGTTGCAGGCTTGCAACCCTCCGCAGGTCCTGATCGTCACGCATTGACCGCCGGGCACCGAGTTGCGAAACCGTCCGCGGAGCCCCAAGGTCGCCCTGGATCTCATAGGGGTCCACCTCATAAGCCGGGTCTCTACTTGGTGGCTCCATCCTCTGGTAAACTGGAGTGTACCGAGGAGACGGTGCGTCGATGTAAATCGGCCGTTCGTGAGTCGGGCGGCTGCGAAACATTGGCGGCGCATCGACGAAGGGCGGCGGCGACACCGGCTCCTCTTTGATTTGCGGCTCGGTCGCACCGCCGGCTTGCGGCCGGTACGGCGCTTGCCCGGGTGGAGCCCTATCCCCCTGCAACCTTCTACGCTTCCGCGGCATCAACGACTGGGGCGAGTGGTGTGGACTGGCCTGATTGTCCGGACCGTAGCCGGGGCGAAGATCTCTGAGCTGATGGACGGAAGGAACTTTAGCAATGGCCAAAGGAGAAACCCTGGACGGCTGTGGAGCCGCGGGGGAGGTAATATGATTCTGTACAACCCTAATATCGTTTCGAGGCGATATCGACCTGCGATTGTAACGCGCCCGGTCGTACTGCCGGCCATCAGGGCCTCGCTGTTTGCTAAGATAATCTCTTTGGGGATCAGGGCCCTCCTGTCTTTCCATCGGGGCCACACCCGGCGCCGGTGGGGAATATTCGGGTTCTTCCACCGCTTCGACCGCTTGCTGGGGTTCCTGGTGTTTATGGGACCTGTGAACCCCCTCCGCATGATGAGGTGGTCTCTGGACGCGATGCGGCAGTCGGGGGTCTGCAACGGGGTAAGTATCATGCATTTCCTGATCCGAGTCATTGCGGTTGAGGGCTTCAAGCCGTTGCAACTCATCTGAGTAGTTCTCTGCCGGAGAGTCAACCACTATCGGCTCCTCCGCAGTCATGGCGGGGGCCAGGGACGGCTGTGGAGGGCCTTGCTGTGGAGAGTCCGGGGCTCTGCTAGAGTAGAATGAGTTATCGTCGAACGAGTCGCTAGTCGCACCCGTGGCTGGCACATCAACCGAAGGCGATGGCTTGACCATCTCAAACGCCCTCACCAACACATCCGAGACATCGAAGTCCGGCTTTGTGTCCTGCAGCGAGGCTTTGTGTCTTGATTCTTGCTTCCTCTGATCCAGCTGCTCTCGCAGTGTCCTCTCCAAGCGTTGCCGCTGTAGCTGAAGCTCCGCACGAACTAGATCATCCGACTTGGTCAGGAAGATCGGATCGATCTCCGAGACTGGTTTGGGAATTGTACGCGCGCCCGCCGTCGCAGCCGATGGGCTGTCCACGGGCGCAGTCGCCTGGGAGTTGACCAATTGCGCCGGTGTCGAGGGAGCCTGAGACAGGGTCGTTATAGAAGACCCCGGTTGCTCACTTGGCTTTACCTGAGTAGGGACTGAGGCAGGGGCATGAGATGCGGGCTTGCGGACGAGGTGTTGAGGAACCTTCAACCTAGGGTGAGTCCCAGAGAATATGTCGTCACTTATTTTCAAAATCTTCACATACTCCTGCACTTCCTCATTGGTAGGGGGTGCAGGAGCCAGACTACCTGGTGGAAGATGAGCTGCTGCCATGATCAAACAGCTCCCAGGCACGTTGGCTGAGAGGATTGACCAGAAAATCGTGTTCCAGCACGGGAGTTGCAGCTGAGTTGTGCTCCCGAGCTCTGACTTGGCTGTGGTCGGCATATTCTGCCACCGCCTTTCACCTCCGAGGTTTATCCGACCCATCCTCTGCACGTGATTCATGTTGTTCTTTTCTTGCAAAATGAAGGCGGTGAGAGAGCGAAAGGGAAGCGGTGAACCGGTCATTCATCACATGACATGGCGACTCCAAAGTCACGGGATCTGATGCTTGGCTCTCCGTTGCCGCTAAACCCGATACAGAAGCCGCCCCAGGCCCGAAGGCTCTCCGCGGGTTGGTCCGCGGAGTCAGCGAGTTTATTGGAGGTTCCTGGGTCTCCCAAGCGCAAGATGACTGTTTCGCGATGAATCATCTTGCCCGTTCCTTTTCTTCGACGGCATCTTTGCTATCTTCTGGATTTCGTAAATCTAGTCGACCTCATTCTCTGTTGAAACCGCCTTCTGTCGTTCGTCCCCTATCTTTCCCCCCGAGTCGCATACCTACTACCCCGCGAACCATGTCAACCTCAACTTCGGGCCCTGATTCCAGGCCCATCTTCTTCTTTGATATTGACAACTGTGTATGTATCTCGGAACCCCTCGTGATTCTTTGTATATGCTGACTTTTCCGTCTTTAGCTTTACTCCAGAGGTCAGGGAATACCGTCGATGATTGTTAGGGAGCAAAATGCGGGGTGCTAACAACCACGGGTACAGAATGCAATATCCACGATGAGATGCAAAAGTTGATCAGTGAGTCCGCCGTTATTTGATCTTCTTCCATGCGAGCTACGGTCCTAATCACAAATTCCTCTAGATCAATTCTTCCGAAAACACCTTTCCCTCTCCGCCGACGACGCTCATATGCTACACATGAAGTACTACAAAGAATACGGTCTTGCTATTGAAGGTCTCACCCGCCACCATAAGATCGACCCCCTCGAATTTAACCGCGAAGTCGACGATGCACTGCCTTTGGATACGATCTTGAAACCGAACCCGGGACTGCGGAAGTTACTCAAGGATATCGACCGCAGCAAAGTCAGGCTGTGGCTGTTGACGAACGCATACGTCAATCACGCCAAGCGGGTAGTTAAACTTCTGGAGGTGGAGGATCTGTTTGATGGCGTCACATACTGTGACTATGGACAGCTGCCTTTGATTTGCAAGCCGAACCAGGCGATGTACGAAAGAGCGGAGAAAGAGGCCGGGGCGTCGCCAGGGCAAAAGTCCTACTTCGTCGGTATGTAGACCATATGACATCAGCTTTTCTAGAGATACTGACTTTTCGTGGTACAGATGACTCGCACCTGAACTGCGTACATGCTGCGAAGCGCGGTTGGGTCACCGCCCACCTTGTCGAACCCAGTCTCCCCCTGCCTCCCACCCCAGCATCACAATATGTGATCCGGGACCTGGAGGAGCTGAGAACATGCTTTCCGGAGGTATTCAAGTGTTCATAGCGAGGCCAATTGATAGAATCCGGCCATAGATCCTAAATTAGATGTTTTGGATGATTTGTACTTGGTGCGATGGAAAATGAATAACGGCCATGAGGTATACCAGTTGAATAGACGATATACATCCCCTATTTTACGTCTTCGAATGTTAGGTTAGATCCATTTCCGACGGCTGTCAAACGTATGTAATAAATAGTCGTTTCATAGTATAGGAAATCCATCATTAATTGTTGTTATGGATTGGAAGTACTGTATGTTATCGGGAAGAGTGTTTGCCTGAGGCAGCCATCGCGCGGGCTCGCGTTGTTCCTGAGGCTCCGAGTGGAGCTAGATTAAGGAGACAAACAACATCAACACCGCTCCACCTCCGTCTCCCCCAGATCTGACTTGACCCGGCTTTCTCTGCGCCAGCTCTTTCGCAGAGGCGGTTACTATACATGATCGACCATGGTGGACCTATCTCCCGGCTATGTGGTTTCACTGACGGACGGTCGGCGGGCCACCGTCCGGTTTGCTGGGGCGACGCATTTCGCCGCGGGCGACTGGGTAGGTATTGAATTGGATGAGCCGACAGGGAAGAACGATGGCTCCGTTCAGGGAGAACGATACTTTGACTGTGAACCGGGATTTGGCATGTTTATCCGGCCGTCTGCGGTCGCTTCGATTGTCGAACAGCCCGCGCGTGCCAGCAAACCGGCGGGTAAAGCCCCCGGTGCTGTTCCACCTGGCACCAGAGGTCGCGCGCAAAGCGGCATCGTCTCAGGTAGCACGGGGATGAAAAAAACCAGTGCTCTGTCCACTGCAAATACCAAGAGGCATAGTGCGAGCTCTGCTAGCCCAAGCCCGGTTCCCAAGACCGCGGCGTCTCGACTGTCAATGAAGGTACGCTTGTGGGTGGTGAACCCATGCGCCGTGTTATCTTGCTGACAGGTCTCTGGGATAGTCCCCTACTAAATCACCGACAAAGCAGCTGTCGGGCGCCTCCACGCCTATGTCCAGCCGTTCGTCTCTTACTGGCACTCCGCGCCCATCTGCCGCCCCCGCCAAACCCCGAACCTCCATCAGTACCAAGTCGTCCATGGGCCCGCCGCCCGCTCCCTCAGCCGCAGGCCGCACCGCTCGACCTTCGCTATCTGGACCCGCGGGGAGGACAAACAGATCAAGCCTGGGTGCTGCTCCGTCGTCGACGGGTGCCTCGAGGCGCCCCGCTTTACGGCCCACGGCCCCCAATAAGCCCGAGGAGGCAGATGGTGGCGGAACCCCACAGTCTGATGACCTTGAGAGTGCTTCTCCAAGAGGAGATGATATGGCCGATGATGCGGACTCGATGTCTAAGCCGGCCAAGCCAGCCCAAAGCTCTTCGCGACCCGGCGCCTCTCGCCCGAGCGGCCAGCCGTCTACATTCCAACGACAGAGTCAAAGTGCTGCCGTAAGCAGGGAGCTTGACGAGCTCAAAACCAAGTTGAGAGTGATGGAGAAGAAGCGGGCCGACGATCGGGATAAGCTCAAGACGCTGGAAACGTTGCAGTCTGAACGGGATAAGTTTGAAAGCATCATCCATAAGCTGCAGAACAAATACCAGCCTCAGCAGGCGGAGATTGGTGACTTACGCAAGAAGCTGAAAGAATCGGAAGCTAGGCTTGAAGAAGTCGAGCGTCTTGCAGCTGAGCATGAGTCTCTCATGGAGATGGCCACGCTCGATCGCGAAATGGCCGAAGAGACCGCGGATGCCATGAGGCATGAATGTGAGACCTTGCGATTGAAGGTCGAAGAGATGCAACTGGAGGTGGAAGTCCTGCGCGAGGAGAATGAAGAACTTGGCCAAGTCATGAGTCCCGAGGAGAAGTCTAGCCAAGGCTGGCTGCAGATGGAGAAGACCAACGAACGTCTTCGCGAGGCGCTGATACGTCTTCGTGATATGACCCAGCAGCAGGAAACGGATCTGAAAGACCAGATCAAAGAGTACGAACAGGACTTGGAGGAATATGCAAGTGTCAAGTCTCAGTACGAAGCCACAAAAGAGAAACTGCTCGTGTCGGATGAAAACGTCGAAAATCTCAAACAGCAGCTAGAGACCGCACTGGGTGCCGAAGAAATGATCGAGGAGCTTGCGGACAAAAATCTGCGATACCAGGAACAGATCAACGAACTCAACGCTGCTATTGAGGACCTGGAGGATCTGAAAGAGATCAACGACGAGCTGGAGAACAGCCACGTTGAGACAGAAAAACAATTGCTCGAGGAAATCGAGCACAGGGAAAGCGTTTACAACGAGCAAACCCGGAAAATCACCCAGCAGGATGAGGTTATTGACGATCTGGAATACACGCTGGTTCGTTTCCGGGAGCTGGTCTCAACTTTGCAGGCAGACCTGGAAGACATGCGAGCGTCCCAGCAGATCTCCGAAGCGGAGGCCACCGATCTCACGACGCGCTCTCGAGCCATGATGGACCTCAACCTGAAACTCCAGGGTTCTGTCTCGAAAGCACAGACAAGGACCATCGATGTCGAACTCGGTCGTATGGATTTCGAAGAGGCAACGAAGCATTTGGAAATCCTGAAACTATATCTTCCGGATTACTACGAGAGCGAGAAGTACTCCGTCCTGGCGCTGCTGCGTTTCAAACGCGTCAGTTTCAAGGCGTCGCTGATGAATAACACCATTCGTGAGAAGATCACCGACCAGTCGTCTGTTTCTACCGCACTTGAGGATATATATGTTGCCTACGATCTCGTCGAGAAATTGTCATGGATATCCGTTCTTTGCGAGCGGTTCGAGTCCTACATCAATACTTGCTCGGCCGAAAACTTTTCTGAAATCAAGGCGACATTTTTTGAGCTAGAGCCAGTGGAGCGCACGCTGAATTTTTGGATGGAGGGGTTGAAAAAGAACGAAGTGAACATGAGGAAATGGACCACCGAATTGTCAAGATCCATCGCTCTCTTGTCCCATCTCGCCGAGACTGTCCTCCCGACCTCCCTGGAGACGTTCGCCGATGAACTTTGCATGCGCTCAATGCTAACACAACTATACATCGACAACTGTGCGTCGTCAATGGCACGGCTCAAATCGTTGCTGCAGTCCAAAATGAGCGTCCCAGAAGGAGGGGAAGAAGAAACCAATTACTTCCTGGGCAAGATAGACGGCTTTGTTTCTCAGACTCGTGGCTTGAAAGTTGCGATGGGGAAGATCTATCGGTCGTTGGATGAACTACGGTCGAGATCTCTAGCGCTCTCGCACGATGTATCGGGCCCATTCAAGGCTACTTCGGAAGCTGCCCAAGAATTGTCCGCTGTAAGCCGACACATCGGAGAGAGCATCGTGGCGCTGATCAGCGACGAAAGCCGCACGGAGCCGCTTACTCTCGAGGAAGCCTTGACGAATATGATGGCGCAGCTGTCATCACTGTACTCCCAGTCTTCCGATTCAGGCACCGAAAACAACGACGCCATTGCCTTCATGACCAACAAGCTACGTGCCCTAGGCGGCCACCTCGAGGAGCTAGACTCAATCTCGTCCGACCTGTCTATCACATCGGAATTCGAGAGACGGCCATCCCCGTGGGTCGCGCGTGCCGCAGAACTGCGATCGAACAAGATTGTCCCTCCCGACACGGACGAAGAAATCCGACACATGAAGAACGAAATCCACGAAGCTTTCACCGCTCTGGGCGTCAAAGACAAGATCATCGAGGAGCAGCACATCAAAGTCGAGCTGGTCGAGTCGCGCATGCGCGAAGCCAAAGAAAAAGCAGCGATGGTCAAGGACCTGGAGAGCAAGATCGAGTCGATGCAGGAGAAACAGGCACGCCTAGAAGGGCTCGTCGAGAAGCAACGCAAAGACCTCCAGAGCATGGAAACCGAGCGCGAAGAGATGAAATCCCGACTCAACCAGATCAAGCGCGCGTCTGGAACAACAGGCGTCACCACCACAGACGGCATGGTCATCGACACAGGCGCGTCGCTAGCAACCATGCGCGAGAACGAGACCCTCCGCTCAGAAGTCGAAAGCCTACAGGCCGCCGTGCGCTTCCTGCGCGAAGAGAACCGCCGCTCCAACATGCTCGACCCCTTCTCCGTCCAGCGCTCCGCAGACATGCACTCCTGGCTCGACATGCCCCTCACCCAGTCCGCCGCCGCCACCAACACCAAGACCCACCAGACCGCGTCCGAAAGCCGAGATGTCTTCGCGCACCTCCTCAAGTTAACCCGGGACTCAGACCCCTGCGACCTCAAGACCACCCTGTCGCCCGACAGCACAACCCCGCGCACCGCCTGGCGGCCATCCAAGACCAAGCTCCGGTACCAGGTGCTCCAACAGCGCGAAGACCTCGCACGCTGGACCGAATGGCGCGACGACATGGTCAGCTACGAACGCGAACAAGACCGCCTAGCAGCCGCAAAGCGAGACCGGCTCTCCCACGACCGCGTCCGCAGACACGCGCCCAAGCTCTCCCTCTTCGGTGGCTTTCCTCAGGGTCTCGGGCATGGCATGATGGGCCGCGCTTGGGAGATTCTAGGCATGCAGCAGCATCCGCGGAAGGTGGCTGAGAAACCGGTGGATCCGGCTATTGTGCAGTCGGATGCGTCTCAGACGTGGTGATTTATCACTTTGAATTGGGCTTTGACTCTTCCTTTCCTTCTCTCGCTTGATTCCCCTCCATGCCACATCCACCCATCTATAAGAATAAGATAGCATTTTCGAAACCGTCATATTATTCGTGTACACCGATAAATTCACTATGTATGTATGTATGTATGTACGCATTCATGTTGATAGCAGAGATACCGTGCGATTAGCAATATTATACCAATACTTTGTTTATGTATTTTATTTGCCATATCACAACATATATCCCGTGCAGGATGGGTCCCTAGGTCAGCTTCTAAACATGGATATGGATGTATCGCATCCTTAGAGCGTGGTCCGTACACGCCGATCACAACGTGGAGAATGCAAGGGCCGCAATAGTAACTTTATATCTACTACAGGCCATATACACCCAAGTACTAATCCGGCTATTGGCTGCGAGCCAGTGCCCCGGATACAAGGTAGAAACTTATCATTGTTTCATCGTCATCCGCCGAGAGTTTCTCATGCGGGGACTGACCTGTACATCGAAGATGACGCTTCTCCTGAGTGTCTATGCTGCCATAGCCATGGCTGCCACTACCGCGATGGCCCAATCGCAATGGGATTGGTGCAGTCGGGACGTCACTGTGAGGAGAACCGGCCCTCATTGCACTAGCTATCTAATTGAAACTGACTTACTCTTGATAGTGTAACAATGACGGTGATTGTCGAAGCAGCAGTGATGTAAAGCAGGCGTAAGTGAATCTCTATTACTCAGTCTGGAATGACCAAGCTAAGAATGATAACAGGGCGACGTGGGTCGAGTGTATTGTGGTCAGCAGTTGTGGCCGCACAGCTGCTGGAGATATACACAATAAGCACCAATCCATGCAGTATAAAAAGGAACTCGTGGGGAGCGTCTGTGATCAGATGGATCTTTCCTATCACGGTGATCCGCATCAGTATGGAGACACCATGATTCCTGCATAACGCGGTTATTATCACTTTTTGCCCTGTCTCACCCGGGTTCACCCCTTTAAATTAGTCTTCGCGCAATGCTATCAAGCTCGGGGGATTTTTTCCAGCCTGTATTATAGGTTAACTATGGTTGGAAGAATCCCACTGAGCTCCTGATCCCGGTTTACATTTCCTATAAGGTTGCTCCATGGGTCGCATTCTAGACTTCATCACGCTTCTCCAACAGGTTGTAGCTGTGTAGAAAACAGTATATCTACATCTATATCTATGAATATAGATATATTTAGATATATTGTAGATTGAAATCTATCTATATACCAAAGAGGACTAGTCCGCTCGCTATCTCAAGTGTTGGTTGTTCCTTCTCCCACAACCTCATCTCACCACCACCACCACCATCATCAACATCAACATCAACACCCCCAACTACAATCGATACAACATGGCCCCCCTCACAGGCTCCTGTCTCTGCTCTAACATCCAATACCGCATCGATCTACCAGACTCTGAACCAATTCCGAAGGTACATACCACTCACTTACTCCCTCCTCACCCTATCATACCACATCCACCCCTACCCTCCACCCTCCACCCTCGTCATCCATCACACACACACACACACACACACACACACACACAACCAGCTAACCAACCCCCAGATCGCCCTCTGCCACTGCACCAGCTGCAAACGCGCCACCGGTTCGAGCTTCTCCTCCAACATCCTCGTTCCGGCCCCCACACTATCCTACACCCGCGGCAGCCCCAAAACCTACAACTGTCCCTCTGACCGCGGCCCGCCCGTGCTCCGCGCCTTCTGCACCGACTGCGGCTCGCCGCTGACGACGCAGATGAGCGATAACCCCGGGACGCTGATCGTCAAGACGGGCACGCTCAATGAGAAGGAGAGAGAGAGCGTGCAGGAGCTGGGCGTGGAGATCTATGCCGGTAGACGCGATGCGTGGGTAAATGACATTGGGAAGGTGGATAGTGTCGAGGGGATGATTTGATGCGTTTGTTTTGGATGTTTATATGTGTACTACTGTGGATGTGTGTGTTGTGCTGTATGAATGGTTGGGCTGCACATTGCTTACTTACATACATACATGCATACATGCATACTAGTACTCGACACGCTTGCGGTGATATGTGTATATAATATATGCTATATACTGAGAGCAATGTACTTCCTACTGGGGATAGAAGAAGACAAGTGTCAGGTTTACTGCCCAACTGCTCAAAATCCGATTGCCATACTACTCGTTCCTTAGTGCTTACTATGTACCTATCTCATCATATAATCTTATTGTGCTACCTATTAATTATCAGGTACCAATTCACTAATTAATATTATTGTGATAGTATTGCTGGATATATATTGCCTTATCTTATTGATTCTATCTATCATGAGTACCAGGAAGGCCTGCACATGTAGGTTAGTCTCCTACAAAGATATACTATATATGGATATAATAGTATAGTATAGTAGCCGCTACGCCAAAACGTTGACGAACGTTTGGTATCGGGCTGGCTTAACCTGACTGGTACTCTAACATATATTTACCTCTCTCTCTCTCAGCTCAGCCAACCCCTGCTTGGTTTTTTTGATTGAGTTGTGAACTCGGGGTATTTAACTATTCAGCGCGTACTCAGTTCTATCTATCTAGGTATCTACTCCGTGAGTGCTGAATTGGAAAGAATGCATTCAACCAGTCAATCAAATCAAGTATGAATGTATGTGTATGTATGTATTATTTATTATACAACTGACTAATTGACTAACTCGCTCCTAGTACGCACCCATCAATAGACTTCACCTCGTAGATAACTGCAAATTCAGAAAGAAACAACGAAAACAAGGCCCGAATGCAATCCAAACGAACAAAAATAAACAGATCAATGGCTTTATGAAACAGGAATAGAAATAGCAATGGAAACAGGGTTGCAAGTCTCTCGATAAAGTAGGCAAATTTTGTACATTCCTTCGTTGGGGATGATTATGCTGGCTCTTTCTTTTGAGATTATGATGATGTATGCATATTGTGGTGATTGGTGATCGTTAGGGGGGAATGGCCCCTGATATACATAGATATCATGGGTCAATGATGAAATGAGGAATGAAAGTGGGAGTGGGAAATGCAATGCAATCATAGAGCGCCGGAAAGGACAGCTTCGGTGGCTAGTTCACAATTAGCATCAAATTCCCATAATAGTGTCAGAAAAAGTAGAAAACATACCTGAGTTGATGTACTGCCGCCTAGCATCCAAGTTCATACCGAACCGCCTCTCCAACTCCTGCTTAATGCTCTTCTTCGTCACGCTCATGAGATCAACAGTGCGAAGGATCTCGCGGATCTCGGCAAGAATGGCATCTTCACTAGGCAGATGAGAGAGATCTTCCATCTCCATATCCATGTGGCGACTCATCATCTCAGATGGGGCGATAGACATGCGGGACCCGCCGTAGCGAGGAAGCTCAAGCTGGGACATCGGTCTCGAGCCCGGGAAGCCGTACTCCGATTGCATGGGGTGGTAGGACTTGGTGCCGTAAGATACGCCGGAGACTTCGGAGCGGTCGTCTCGCGAGGTCTGCGCTTCCCAGAGCTCGGTCTGATATTCTTCCCACTTCTTCTTGGGGATCGAGGATGGGTCGAATTTGCCTTCGTCGGAGATGACCACCTTGCGGCCCTTTTCGCCTGTGATGACGCGTGTGTTGCCCCAGGAGAAGTCGTCCATGTTCCAGAAGGAGTAGAGGGGTAGGGCGAGGGCGAAGACTGGCATGGCGCAGATGTAGATGATCATCCAGCCGATCATTTCCCACTTGCGGCGGAGAATGAAAATCAGTCCCTGCAAACCGTAAATCGCGGCAAGGAGAATAAATGCGGTATATGGGATGGTGGATGTGTCGCGAACCAACCACACGATAAGGTAGATGACGTAGGCGATGGTGACGGGTTGGATGACGGTACTGAGAAGGTCAATGAAGACGATGAATCGCATACTGAAACAGCAGAAACCACACAGCTGCTGAAGCGGGATCAGCTCAATCAGGTTATGGACCGTAGAGTTGATCCACCGACGACGTTGAGAGAGGAACACGGCGAAGTTCTCTGGCGCAATTGTCCAAGCATGGGCCGCGAAGATGAACTTTGTCTTGTACTTGGGGTGGTGCTTCAACAGCAGCGTCGTCAAGTAACGGTCTTCACCCAGATGGAGCAGGTTCTTCATATGAAGTGTGTCCACGCGAATTTCAGAATAAGAATCGACAACCTCCTTGCTGACGAACAGCGGTTTGGCGGTTTCAGCCGAGCGGATGCGGTACATGGTAAAACAACCAGGCAAGCAAGTGACGGACCCGAAGAGACTCTCGAACGCCTTGGTGAGGTTGTGCGAGATGTAGTATTCGTACACTTGAATCATGGTCACTGCGGACGTCTTAGCGTTGGTCAACGCAGTCTCGCCACAGACGCCGATGATGCGAGTGTCCGCAAGGAAGGACGCCACCATCCGTGTTGCTGCATCAGGCGCAACCACCGTATCTGCATCGACTTGCAAAATGAACTCGTAGAACGTCGGATTGACGCCGATTATATTGCGGATTTGATGATGCATTTCCAGCTCCATAGGGCTCATGGGAAGGTTGTAATGGATGCGATTCAAGAACCGCATCAGGACCATCTGCGAATCACGCTTGCCTCGGTTGCCCGGCCGCGACACCTCGGAGGGCTTGCCAACCTTGACCACGACCAGGAAAGGAACGATGTGACCCTGCACTTCATACAGGCCTGAATAAACCTTAGCCATGTTGTGCTGTTTCATACCTTCGCCCAGGCTGTCAAAGCTCAGAGGTTCCGGGTCCACGGTCTCGGGCACACCCAGGATATCGAGAACGATCCTCGGCGTGGGTCGATCATTTCCTTGACCAATAATCATACCGTCACAGATCACAACGAGCAGCTTCCGCTTATCATCATACTGCATGCGAGCCATGGAGTCAATAGCACGACGAAGAGACTCCTCGTCTTCCGTGTAGGCCGGGACCTGGCAGATAACAAACTTGTCCAAATGCTCAGGGACATTCTTCTTCTGGAACTGAAGGGCCGCTAGGAACTTGAAGATAACCACGGCGCAGATGAGAATCGATATCGCGAGAATGAAGTACTGCGCGAACTGACACTGGGCCGAGTTACGTGTATCGACGTGGCCGACAAAGAAGAGGTTATCCAGGCACAACTTCATGCGATCGCGCAATCCCTTGTCGATGTCCAAGTTCTCCCAATACTTGGTCAAATCCTGTCCGGGACGTTGCTGGAAGAGCTCCACCACGACGGAATGCATAAAGTCCCGATCGACATTCGCGGGCACCTTCCCTCCAGGCGGGGGCTCCGCGCGGCGACCGCCCGTGATGTAGTTCGTCATGTCGTACACTTTGCCATTGATGCTCGAGATCGACTTCGACTTGCCCGCCAAGGTTTTCATATACTCGGGTGTGTATCCGATGTAACCCTTCTTATAATTTGCTTTGAGCATTTGCATCTGTTCAGCAAACCAGTCAGGTCGTGAGTCGTTCGTGAAGTGGCGGAAGTCGTGATATTTCGAATTGACATCCCCGGTACTGATGGTAGTAGCCGAACCAGTGATGTTGGTAGGTGTATAATCCAAGAGCACCGTTGGATCAACGGATCCCGATTTTCCCTGACACAATGCCGACACCTGGACCGGGAAAAGACCAGTGGCGTCGATACCGGCATACTTCTTCAAGGCCTTTTCGGGTACGATGTCCGGATAATGGGCGGGGATAAAAGCATCAAGGTCAAAGACCACACCGCGAACGGAGACAAAGGATTTATGACCGTGTTTGCCGTCGTTTGAAGATAACTCCGAGGCCGAATAAACGTGTTGGGTGGGACAGACCAGGCCCGGGAAACCGACGATGATGAAAATGGCAACGCCACAGCTGAACCAGATGATCAGGTTGATCGCGAACTTCTCACGCCAGGCATCGCGCACGTCCTTCCGCTTCATCCGACCGACCAGCTTGATGATAAAATCCGGAAGCCAGAAGGTGAGCAAGTAGACGATGGCCAGCCAGCGTTTGCGACTGCCCGAGACCGGCGCGTCATCCACCTCTTCCATCTGCTTTTCGTTGCCCTTTTCCAACATCTGCTCCCGCGTCTCGAGGTTATGGAACATATCGCCTGAGTTGAAGGCGGATCCTCCGGCCTCGGAGCGCCCGTCAAACTCACGGGCTCCAAAGTAACCCTGTTTGCCTTCCTCGCCGTAGATAAAAGCGCCGGGTGACTGATCGGCGGGGTTGAGAAGTCGGACCTTGGAATCCATATAGCCCGGGCTCCGTGCGTGCGGGACGCTGTCAGCACCCTCCTCAGACCCAGTGCCAACGCCGATGGGCATCACACGCTCGCCGACCTTGGCCAGATCGGCCCAGCAGCGCTCGCTGAGGAAGACACCGGTACTGCCCACCCGGGCCTCGTTCCCAGGCCATCGTTTCTCGTCCAAGACGACCTCCGATTTCTCCCGGTCACTGCCGACGACGATATTACCAATGTCAGCTAGGCCTAGGAATTCCGCGAAGGGTAGAAACACGCTGAAATCGGCGTTCCGGAGCCGCTGGCTGATCTCGGCGATGCCGAATGTCTGGACCTGGGCTCGCACGCATTTGCTGTCGAACTGGTTCGCGATGCGGCGGTCGTTGGGCTTCAAGCAGAAGATGAAATACGGGTTGGAATTGCTGGAGCTCAGGCACTTGTTGACGATGGTAAGTGACGATAAGAATTGCCCGGCGGCGCCCTGCATGCCATTCATGAGCGCCCCGCTCTTGCGTCGTCCGGAATTTTTCGCGGAGCTGCCCGCGTGGCTCTCGTTTTCTTCCGGGTCGTCGCCGATGGCGGCATCGAAGGCTAACCGGGTAGGGGGTGTGGTCTTCCGTCGCGCCATGCTCGGCATCCGCATGGGCTTGGAGCTCACTTGGGCTTGCATGATCGCCGTCCGCTCCTTGGGGTGAGTCACCTTCTGCAGTGCCTCCTGGCCGAACAGGTCCCGGACGAAGTCACTCTTTGTGGTGTTAACCAGGTTCATCAGATCGCCGGAGATGATCTCCCCGTTGTCCTCGATGAGGCCACCGACGGAATAGTCGACTTCACCGGCAAAGTGCTTCACGGTGAACGCGGCGCGGGCCTGCTGCGCGGCGTAGCTGGTCCCCTGTTTGGAACCGGAGCCGCCAACGGAGATGGCCGGGTTCTTGTTTTCGAAGCGCTTCTTCAACGATTCCGCAAACTGGATGTCCGTGCGCCCTCGTCGCGTCTGGTCATCGAGGATACTGAGGAGCCCGTTGCCATGTTTCAGCAGTCCCCGGACGGCGTCCGTGTTGTCGAAGTAGCTCGTTGCCGGCACGGCCACGTCTTCCCGCTCCAGGTTGTCAGCTTTGCGGTCAAAGAAGGACTGCAGGCAAAAGTTGTATAGGGATTCGGTAGCCGCATTGCTCAGCAACTGGTCCAAGGTCGAGCCCGTGGCGCAGGACTGGGAAAATCCGGGAAAGTCGACGATGGAGACGGTGTTGGCCACGCTATCCTCCGCCGCGCAGATCTTCTGGTTGATGCTTTCCAGCACGTAGGCGACCAGAAGCGAGTAGATGGTGCGGGCCAACTCATCGGCACTCTGGCGCGCGCCGCTCGGGTCCAGCATGACCGTGACGCGCTCCCGGTGGATGGTCTTGGTGCGATAGCGGAAACTGGTCTCGAGCTCTTCCACTCCCAGACCCAGGAAGGCGGCAATGATGGACAGGACATCTTTATTCCGGACGATGGTGACGGTTTCGCCGCCTTCGTGGGAGTAGCCTCCGGACTCCTCGGCGGACGTGGTGGTCGCCTGTCCGCTGATGAAATCGAGCTGGCCCAGATGCAGGATGGCCGCGAGGATCTGGCAGATCTCGGCGATTTCGCTGCGGGGAAACTCCAACTTTCTCAACGCGGTCTTGAAATGCTGGAAGCCTTCGGTGTCGTTGATGCCCACTTTCATCTGCGTGGGATGACCCAGATACCTCCACCGTTTGTGTTTGACCGAGGTGCCCGACAGTTTCCCGCCGCCGGTCGTAATGTGGATGGTGTTCTCGAACCCCAGATGCGCCTTCTCGGCGCCGCTGGTCCCGGCCAGGAGATAGTAGAGGACATGGAAGCTTCGCTCGCCGGTGGGGACAGATGTGATCCGACTGCGTTCCAGTCGGTGATCGATGATCTTGCCGCCAATCAGCGTGGGGTTGACCGAGGACGACCCGTCATACTGCAGCTCCAGGAACAAGCCGGCTTTGGACGCGGTGGGGGTGGTCAGGGATTTGGTGGTGGTCAGCGTGTCGAAGACGAACGCCGCATAGGAGAGTTTGGAGGATAGGGGGGTTGATGAGAAGGAGAGAAAAGCGGACAGGAGGTGTGATCGAATGGTGGTTTTCCCTGAACCACTCTCACCACTGGACGTTGTTAGATGAGATCGGTCTGCATCGGGGACTTGATTACTTACAGGAATACAATGGACTGGTTCTCCCCGCGCGCCCCTAACCGGGTGAAAGCGCGGCGGGCCAGGTCCTCCGCCTCCCCCATGGCACTGCCTTCCTTCGCGCCATCGGGACCCTTTGACGACGAGGTGTATGTGTTGAGACTGATGAGAGCCTGCGAAGACAGGCGAGCCGTGGGGAGACCGACGTGGAATCTAGCCAAGCGTGGTCAGACGGTCTGTTGTCGGGCGGATGAGGGGAAGAGAGTATCACATACCGACTGGCCAAGTGGGCGGTCAGATGGGTGTCAGATTGAAGATGTGCGGGCAGCGAGGGCAAGGACGACTGTGCGTGAGAGGGAACATGTCCTCCCACAGGCGAGATTCCCGCCATGATGAGGATGACGCTGAACCCCCGACGGTGAGATTTCGAGGGTCACTGAGCGGCGACAAGGACGGATCGTGTTCCAGAAGTTGGTATCAACTGTTGGTGTTAACTGAAGACAAGAAGGAAAAGCCCGTTGTATAATTCTAAGTCTTCCGATAATTCTCGAAGAATGAGAGATGCGAATGGCCGTGGTCTATTTTGGGAACAGTATCTGTGGCGGTTTGAGGGGGAGATGTAATGTCTAGCGAAGGAAAGAGATCAGCAGGTGGTTGCATTGATCGCATACGCCAGTGAGTTCACTGTGGCTAGAAATTTTTTTTTCAGCTGGGAAATACTATACAGGAATCGGTAAGGGTGAGGGCGAGCAGGTCGGAGAAGCGCAGAGCGATAGTGGTGTAGAATTAATTAAGCTCCGACAGAGGATGGTATCTGCACTCTGTCCGGCAAGTGAAGCTAAACTCAAGAGATGAAACGAGAGTGAGGACAAAGAACAGAAAAACCAAATAAAAATAAAACCAGACCAGATCAACGAAAGAGGAACGAGAAGACGAAAGAAAGAAAGGCAAGTCAAAAGGCAAACAAAGACCGAGAAGAGAGAAGAGAAGAGAAGAAAAGCAAGAAAAGCAAGCGGGACAGCGATAAGAAGGTCGATCATGAATTGCTCTGGGGAATGACCGTACAGTACGGTATCCACTGTACCGTGTATCCACTGGAGATCTGTCTGTACTCCAGTACAGGAGTACGGTACAGTTGAAAATAACTGGCCCGTTGATTGGCTCGGCTGTCCAGATGGGTCGTTCGGGTTACCAAACTTACTAGTCTGGTGGTTCGATCAATACACAAACCTGATCCCTCCTCTGTTTTGGGCTGATGTTCATGAGAGGAGGATGTCATTGTCATTGTGAGGATCGATATTCGATTGTTCCAGTATCCATGATCATCATGCTGACAACAATTCTATCCATCCCATTGTTGATGCATCACCAGGAGGACTGGATTCAAAACAAAATAAACAGATCAATAAACGGGTGGATACCCGTCGGTCGAACCGTCCCTCACCAGTAGTCATTTCGTCCCATGGTTACTCAACTCCAGTCGGGCGTATTCCCCGTACAGCTAGATTAATACATTCTATCGAGTCTCACATTGATGGAAGTCGGAGTCAGGCATTGGACTAGTTGAGTCGAGCATTGACTACTGACTATTTCTTCAATATTGTCCATCATCCGGCGCCACCCTGACTGGCCCTAGTCAGGGGGTCACTGATTCTATCCGAAATATCCCTCCCCCCTATACTACTCTCTCTGATGAAGTTTGTCTAGGAGTACTCTATTTTTTCGTGGATAAACCACGAAACCTGAAACCTCGTCAATAGTTGAAGACCCAGGTCAAAGCCGTCATGGGTGGAGAGATGGCATAGGACAGACTACAGGTCAGGTAGCCCTGTGAATGTGGAAACATGATGGTCAATCAGTTCCACGTCCACTGGACCACCGTGATCATCGAGTATCGACAGTCTCAAGGGCTATAACCGACCCGAGAGGATCGCTACTATATAATACATGACCCCGTCCGTGATAGAAATGGGGGAGGAAATGGAATGACTCAAAAGTACTCCGGTGTTTCGGAAGGTGGATCGGATCATTCGATCGACTGGATCAAATCGGTCAAGTGTGAGACTAGGCGGGTTTAGTCCGCTTGTCCAACAATGGTCTGTCCGTGTCCTCCGTCCGGTGGACTCCTTTGTCCATCCGTGGAATGGAAGGTGTTCCATTCTTTCCACCGGTGTTGGGGTGATTCCCAACCGGCCTGGATAGTGCATACCTTGCGTAGTTTAGGTATTTGCCACCTTGGGTTCTTGATTCTTGTTTTAGGTTCCAGGTATGTGAGAAAGTGGCATGGCAGTGCGGCAAGGCGGGTATTCTGCAGTGGACGACGAGGGTCTAGAGTCTAGAATCCAAAGTCCAGACACAAATGCCAAATAAAAATAACAACAGATATCAAGGGTGTAACTTTATATTCATTCTGTTTCTAATACTTGGTACGGATACAGAGTGTACACTTGGTATAATTAGTACGATCACCACCCTGACTATTGATCCTTGGGCAGATGACAACTCGCCTGATTCCATTGCAGAGACAAAAAAAAAAAAAAAAAAAAAGCTGAAAATAGCCAGTAAAAGAAGCTAAAGTGATAGAATGGTGGCGATTGGGCCAGGGGTGAGACAGTCAGGCATTGATTGATGATAGGTTGCGGGTGAGGTGAGACAGGATGTGCCAATTATAGGGGTCGCCCAGGGTCTAAGGCCTGATCCACTGGATTTATCCCCTCTCCATTGGACAATCCCTCAGTTTGATGCCCGCCACCTGACAGATGAGACTTTGCTGGCTAGAGCAACGATGGTTTGAGTCGTTCATGCACCGAGTGCATCATCTGCCTCGGTTTGTCCCGTATAAAAATAGACAAAAAAAAAAAAAAAAACTCAGTTAGAAAATATGGAACAAAACTACAAATCAAGGAAAGACAATAAAAAAATAAACGGTACAGTCACAGGCAAAAATACCAACCTGTACTGGAAGGATGGTTGTGAGTTGGCCTGAATTTCTAGTCCACCGTACGCTGTACATCGTAAATCGACCGGGACTCGAGATGATCGCCCGGATACAACTGGAGTCGTTGTGAGGGAGGCTGGATTTGCAATTGTCCTGTCTAAACCTCGACTGATGGGGGTGATGTGCCAATGACAGCTCAGATGGGAGGAAAATCCTCAACTCAATGGGAAAAATCACAACAAAGCGGACCCTGGTAATTCTGGTAATTTTGGTATGATCATCATACACGCTAGTCTCCCCGAACACCAACTCAGCTTGATTAGACCAGCCATGATAAGTTCAATACGACAACTTCAGTTGATCGCAGGACGCTAACCATACAGGCAATCCTGATTGGTTGGGTAAGATACCCCAGTACTGTACTTGTTACCCATACAGTCACCTAGTCAATTCATTGTGACTGGGACGCCTCCACGCTTCATTCTCTCTCTCGGACCTCGTCTTTTCTCTTCTTCCTCTTCTCTCCATTCTGTTTGCTGCTTTGTATCCTGTCCACTGTTTTGCTCTTTGCTCTGTGTTTGTTACCTTTGCTCGACTGGTTGTTTCTCTTCCCCTCGTATCTTTCTCCTCTCCACTGCCATAATCAACAGATACGGTTGATTTGGTAGCTTGGGATAGTCGCTCGCTTGCAACACTTTGGTCGCCTCTTATCAACTCGACTTAATCCTAATATCCTCCCCCTCCTCTACGGTTGGGTCCAACACTCGCTACACAGGATCAAACCCTCGCTTTCAAAGGTCACACTGGTGAAGCTTTGTTGACAACGCAGACTCTTGGTCTCATCCCACTTACCCGTTTCAGAATCCTCGCATTGCTACAGGCCATCGTCTTTCAATATTGCAGACGATTAAGAAATTCAGTCGTTATCTGCATCGTCGATCGTAGTGGCGGAAGACATCCAGCGTCTCATGTGTTGACGCCCGGAACGCGCCTCACCGTCGCTGGACTTGGCTGTCCCGGATCTCAGAACACCCAGACCGACTTGCCTATTGTCCGATCACCATGTCAAATCGCTATTCCACCTATTCAAGCCACTCCGCTGGTTTTTCCACCGGGACTCATCATGCCCTGCAGCCCACCGGCCCGGTGTCCACCACGACCTTGCTGAACGCCCTTCATGCATCCTACAACGCCGGACAGCCCTATCCGCTCGATGCGAGCACGAGTTTGGTGCTGAATTCCTGGTTCACCGCGACTCAGACCACGCCGGACGGTCACACCGGGGGAATCATCGATCGCGAGTTGGCCGTCAGGGCGTGGGAGCATGCGCGACGGAGAGCGGAGGATGGTTGTATTGTACTTTGGTGAGTGATGATCGCACAGCCCGGGGAGGAACTAGACAATGTCAGGACTAACGAACGACCAGCTCGACACATCAGTCCACCCCCTCCATATTCGAACCATTTCTGGCTGCACTCCCGCTCTCCACACCGAGTATCACTTTCACCGCGCTCGCCGCCCTGCGACCTTTTCTCTCAGCGGTGACATCATTCAACCCGTCCTACTCCCTCTACTCCGCTCTGTCGGCGTGCTTCACTTTCACCCTGAAGGGCGACATCGCGGGGTTGACCCTCGCGCTTTCCACCTCGGGAATCAACGTCGAAAAGGGTCTCCTGAACGTCCCCAGCGAGCCCGGCTACCGGGCCTTCGACGTCTTTTACTACCTCCTGACGTCTGCGTCCACGCAGGCTGAACGGGAGTTCCTCGATCTCAAAGAACCCTCTTCCTATGCGCTCCTCAACAGATCCGGGACCTTCACGCCGCCGTCGTATCTCCCCACCGCCGACGACGCGGCCGCCGCGGAGGATTTCAGAGCCGCTCTCAAGACACTCGGCATCAAAGGCGCTGCGCAGCGTGGACTGCTGTCGGTCCTTGCTGGGCTACTGAAGCTGGGAAATGCAGCCGGCTACGTGGCCGACCAGGAAGAGCTCGAGGAGGCATGCGAAGATGTCGCCGGCCTGCTCGGGTTAGACCCCGAGATTCTTCTCAACAAGTGTTCTACCGATGAGCGTCAGGTGCTGATTGCTGGCATCTACGAGGCGTTGGTGGATTGGGTCATCGGAAAGGCGAATGAGGCTATTGCCAGCGAACTCCAAGATCATGACTCCAGCCACAGTGGCTCGGGCCCGACCACCACCCGCGTGTCCGACGAGGACACCGTGAGTGTCACGGTGGTCGAGATCCCCCGCCCCGTTCTCGGAAAAGCCGTGTCCCTAAGGAACGTGTTCAACGATGACGTCGGTATCAATGCGGAGATGAAGGAGGACGGTGTCCCGGTTCCTCCGGTAGGCCAAGCAATCACCACGGACATGTCCGCTGCCGTGGGACAAGTGGAGGCCGATCTGGGCATCACCACCGGGCCGGTCTGGCACGAACGCGAGTACGAGCTCGATAAGAGACAGCAGGTTCTTGAGAAGGTCGGACTGGAGGTCGAGACCGACGCATTCCTCCGCCAGCTTCTATTCCCCGTCGAGGCCGAAGGCATCACGCTCGGTCGGAAAGGCCGCTTCGATCTCGCCGCCACCCTCGGGAGCAGCCGCGTATGGCATCACGTCTCGATCCACCCGACCGATGACCTACCCGACCGCCTCAACACCACCGCGCCGACGGCGTCGTGGACGGCTGGCGCCGTATCTCGCCAGATCCGCGAGTGGAGGCTAGCGGAGTGGGGCAATCGTCGCCTCAAGCAGCTCGACTTCACGGCCGACTTCGACACCGACGAGTTCGTCGGTCGCTACGCCGCGCTTGGCTGCCCCGAGGGTCGGGATGGGGTGGAGAGCTGGCTAGTGGAAAAGGGATGGACCAACGGGGATGCGCTCGTGGGCCACCAGCGGATCTGGATGAGGGAGAACGCCTGGTGGGAAGCCGAGACTATGCTCGACCTCAAAGGAGAAGAGCAACCGGTCGCCAACCCCTTCATGTATGGCAGCGGCATGTTGGACAGCGGTGTGCACAACCGCTATGCCGCCAACATGGTCCCCGAATCGACCAGTCTCCTGGGGAGCCGCGATAATCTCCTCCAACGGCACAGCACCATGGCCCCCAGCATCGGGATGGGCGCCAAGTCGATCGCCCCCAGTCTGCCTCCGACCGTGAACATGGGCGGTGACTACGGTCTAGGCGCGAAGGGTGACGACAAGAAGTGGGACAGTCACGCGTACTACGACGAGAATGGCCGGTACTTCGGGGAGCTCGACCCGGAATTCGGAGATCCCAAGCACATCGAGAAGAAGGAGATCACGATTGGCCGACGCGTGTGGACCAACTTCGTGTGGGCGCTGACCTTCTGGATTCCCTCCTTCTCGCTCAAGTGGGTTGGACGGATGAAACGGCCGGATGTGCGCATGGCATGGCGAGAAAAGCTCGTCCTGGTTGCCCTGATCCTCCTCTTCAACGGAATGGTCTGCTTCTACATTATGGCCTTTGGCGACCTCCTCTGTCCGAACAAGGACAAAGCCTGGAACGAGAAAGAAGTCGGCTGGCATCAGGGCGATAATGATTTCTACGTCAGCGCCCACGGCAAGGTTTACGACATCAGCAAGTTCTGGAAGATCCAACACAGCGACAACTCGATCGACACGGATTCATCGAACATGCAGCCCTTCGCGGGGACGAACGTGGACGCTTACTTTCCGCCCCCGCTCACTCGATTCTGCGGCGCATTTGTGGACGATGAGGCGATCGCCCTGCAGCCGAATGACACGGAGGCCATGGTCTATGGTCATGCGAAACACGACTGCGGACCCCGCAACCAGCCGAACCCGAAGACCAAGCTGAACGACATCCGGTGGTACGAGAACAGGTTCCTGCCTAAGATGAACGACTACTACAAGGGCGATCTTGTGTGGACGCGCGACGCGGTGAAGAAGCAAGCCGACACACGGAACCGGGCCTGGGTGATCGTGAACCAAAAGATCTACGACCTGACGGACTATTTCCACACCCTGAAGATCATGAACAACATCGACAGCTACAAGTTCCTACCCACCCCCGTGACAGAACTGTTCAAGAACAACCCGGGCGAGGACGTCACGAGCAAATGGCAGGATACGCCGGATTTCCAAAAGGCGCAAACCTGCCTGGACTACGTCTTCTACAAGGGCAAGCTAGATTTCCGCGAAGGCCCCCGCTGCCAGGTCAACAACTGGATCTTGCTTGCATTCACCATTCTCATTTGCGCCGTCATCGTCGTCAAGTTCCTGGCCGCTCTCCAGCTGGGATCCAAGCGACGCCCGTCGCCGCAGGACAAGTTCGTCATCTGCCTCGTGCCCGCGTACACGGAAGGCGAGGACGCTCTGCGAAAGGGACTGGACTCGTTGACCGCCCTCCAGTACGACAACAAGCGCAAGCTCATCTACGTCGTGTGCGACGGGATGATTGTCGGTGGTGGCAACGATCGCCCCACGCCCAAGATCGTCCTGGACATCCTCGGCGTCGACCCGAAGATCGATCCCCCAGCGCTACCATTCAAGTCCATCGGCCAAGGCAGCGACCAGCTCAACTACGGCAAGGTCTACTCCGGCCTCTACGAGTACGAAGGCAACGTCGTGCCCTACGTCGTAATCGTCAAGGTCGGCAAAGAATCCGAGCAAAGCAAACCCAAGCCTGGAAACCGAGGCAAGCGTGACTCCCAGATTCTGCTGCTCAATTTCCTCAACCGTGTTCACCACCGCGCGCCGATGTCCCCGCTCGAACTCGAGATCTTCCACCAGATTAATAATGTTATTGGTGTCGACCCCGAACTCTACGAGTACTGTCTCATGGTGGATGCCGATACGAGTGTCCGGGAAGATTCGTTGAATCGGTTGGTTGCTGCTTGCGCTAATGATGCCCGTATTGCGGGTATTTGCGGTGAGACTAGTCTCCAGAATGAGGAGCGGAGTTGGTGGACTATGATTCAGGTTTATGAGTATTATATATCGCATCATTTGACCAAGGCTTTTGAGTCGCTGTTTGGCAGTGTTACCTGTTTGCCGGGATGGTAAGTTCTCCACTTGCATTTTTCATCCAGGGTTTACAACTTACTGACTCCCCAGTTTCTGCATGTACCGCCTGCGAACCGCCGACAAGGGCCGACCGTTGATCGTATCGGACAAACTGGTCAAGGAATATGCGGACAACGACGTGGACACGCTGCACAAGAAGAACCTGCTCTCTCTGGGTGAGGATCGCTACCTGACCACCCTAATGACCAAGCACTTCCCCACCATGTCGTACAAGTTCATCCCCGATGCATACGCCAGCACCGCCGCCCCAGAGACCTGGTCTGTCCTCTTGTCCCAGCGACGACGATGGATCAACTCGACCGTGCACAACCTGGTCGAGCTGGCCGCGCTCAAGGATCTCTGCGGCTTCTGTTGTTTCAGCATGCGATTCGTCGTCCTGGTGGATCTGCTCGGAACGGTCATTCTCCCGGCCACCTGCGTCTACCTGGCCTACCTGATCTACCGCGTAGCCAGCCACACGGGCCCACTCCCCCTGATCTCCATCTGTATCCTAGCTGGCGTGTACGGTCTGCAGGCAATCATCTTCATCGTCAAGCGCCAGTGGCAGCACATCGGGTGGATGATCATCTACATCTGCGCGTACCCGATCTACAGCTTTATCCTGCCGCTGTATTCCTTCTGGAAGCAAGACGACTTCAGCTGGGGCAACACGCGCGTCGTCATCGGCGAGAAGGGCTCCAAGCGCGTCGTCGCAGTCGAAGACGAAATCTTCGACCCCCGCAGCATCCCCCTCCAGCGCTGGGATGACTACGCCATGGCCAACAACCTCCCCGGCCGGCGCGGCGACTTCGGCGGCAGCCAAGAGAAGGTGTACGGCGGGCGCTACATGGACGACATGGCCATGGAGATGGACGACATGCACTCGACATACTCGTCCGTGAAACCCGCCTCGACAATCCTCACCGGCTTCCCGGGCCAATCCCGCAACGTCAACCCCTACATGCCGCCTCAGTCGCCAATCCCCTTCGGCGCCAACGTCCCCGGCAACCGGCACTCGCACATGTCGAGCTTCTCCCGCTACACAGACCAGCCTTTCCTCGGCCACCAGCCACGCCAAATGTCAATGGGCCACCTCAGCCAGTTCCAAGACGGAGGCATGAACCCGAGCCGCCACAGCGTGGGCCTCATGCAAAGCACAGACAACCTGCTGGGTCGGCCCAACTCGCGCAGCCCTGTAGCAGGCGGCCGACCCGTCAGCGCGTTCGACTTCCGCAGCGGCGGCGGGCCGGACGAGGGCGCCATCGCGGATGCCATCCGGGGGTGTTTGGCGGAGGTTGATCTCGACACGGTGACTAAAAAGCAGGGTAAGCCACTCATTCCTTAAATGTCGTTTGTTTGTTGGGTGCATGGTGCTAACGATGGTATAGTGCGGGCCTTGGTGGAACAGCGCCTTCAGACTACGCTGACGGGCGATCGACGGGCGTTCCTCGACAGACAGATTGACCAAGAGCTGGCCAATATGTAATATACTCCTTCATTTCTCTTCGATGTTGATTTTGCGAGATTATTTTGCGGGATTATTTTGCGAGTTGTTTGTTTATTTGACGGCGATGCCACATGCATCAATCACCCAGATGATATCGATCTATTCATCCACGGTTGATAGATGATCGGATAATGGCAGGAGAGATAAGATAATTTGTTTCGGCATGGCGTTTGGGACAGCAAGCACAGCACAGCATAATGCATTGAATACTACATACATCATACATATTATTTATTATTGACATGGACATTGACATTGACATTGGCATACTATGATACTGGCGAGTTTGGGTCTGATGTAATGGGGCAATGATTCCATGGTTGGAATTCATCTATCCATCCATCCATTGATTCAGTCAATCAGATCAATACCACAGTTAGAATGTGTAGGAATATCACAATCACAATCACATCACAATCGCAATCATATCTAGAATCCTGCATGCATAGTACAGCATAGCTAGTATTCAAGGAGAACCACGATCATCTAACTGTCCTTCTTACTTCGAACTATTCACTCACCCCCTTAAGTCTACATACACACTTACAGCTATTAGTTACCCCATAGCCATGCATTATGAACTCAGGGGAAGCAACGCGATACCAAAAGCACGTGTGAACAAATCGATCCGGCTCAGCGGAGTGCTCGGAATCATGGTCAAAGTGGAGAACAGAAAAGGATGGAGATCCACACCACCCAATTTCTCTCCCTGGCCGGACCACGAATGGCGATACCTGCCAAGGACTATCGTTTCTCTGTTTGAAGAAACATTACATCAGAGCTTGTTTTTTCTTCCTCCTTCCATGCCCTCTTTCCTGATTGGAAGCCTTGGTGGAATAACGAATGATGACATGCGATGATGGAGTTAGGAATCAGGGGAAATTAATTTAACCCCACTTTCTTTTTTCAGCCTTGACTACGGAGTATTCATCTACTTGATTGAATGCCGTTGGCTAGGCGTGCAGATCTGTTTGCTCCTGCTGGCCAGTTATAGGAGGTGGATTTTCATTGCGCGGGCTTAAGTTGACCTCCCTGAGGTCTTCCTTATGATCCTGCACTTGCAATCATGCCATAGACTATCAGGGCAATCAGTGGCTATGAACTACTCAAGTGAGCAACCTTAGTAGGAATTCTTCACTAAGTAGTAAGTGGGTATAATCCCGTCCTCGGCACAAGAAGAGGTAAGTCAACGACACAATCAGGTCATGAAGTCCATGAGATCCAGAAACAGGAACATTACTCTACTCGGTTATCCAGCGGCCGATCATACCAGTCGATCATAACCGGTCCAACCCGGCACGAGGGCCCCAATGGCCGAGCCACGCGTCATGCGTTCCATAGCCTTGTGGATCGGGCAATAGTTGGCTCTCTGGTCTGGTTCGGTCTGGTCTGGAAAGGAGAGAGAGGGTGGGACACTGGGAAAAAGAGGGGAGACGGAACGAAAACTGGGCGGATGACTCCGCTGCTGGATCGGGGTTTCTATACTTAGTTGGTTAACTATGTATGGTTGGATGGATTGGTGGGACTGGGACTCCGGAGAAGAAGGATATCGAACGAACGAATGTCCTTCTGGATCGAGTTAAACGATCAGGGGAATAAGGGGAACGAGGGGAGAAGAGGTGGAGGAGAATGGTATAAATACCTGGTTGTCGTCCCTCTCTGGATTGTTTTATTCTACTATCCTCTCATCAATCAATCAATCAATCAATCTTCAACTTCTTCCACTTCCACCACTACCAAACAATCAAAATGAAGCTCTCCTTCCTCGCCGCCATCACCCTCTTCGGTGCTGCCATTGCCACCCCCGTCGCCGGCGGCAAGGAGCAGAAGCCCGTACGTTTACATCTCCGTCCAATAAACAAGAAGAGAATAATAGCTGACAACGACAACAGGCCATCAAGGAGGGCCAGCCCTGCAAGCAGGACGGCAGCATGGGTAACTGCGAGACCAACTACTGCGAGGTACTTACTTCCCTGCCCCTTTCCACCTATCCCACCACCAAGATGAATGACAAGCTAACGATGAAATGAACAGGCCAAGGGCGACGCCGAGGGCACCTGCAAGCCCGCTCCCAAATAAATCACTGGGCTGATGTCCACCACCTGCGGACCGAGATCGACCGATCGATCGTTTGAACGAATTGATTGAGGCTGGCTCGGTCTGGGGCTTTGTTTCATTGGCGTGTATTTTAGGACTGGCTGCCTGGGTTATTGGATAACTATATCAAATATATAATATATATACCTCTTTCAAGATTGATCTTTTTTCTGTGCAGTGTGGTGGGTTTCATGGTTTGGTGTCGTATGTAGTAGGTTAGATAGTTCAGTCTGGTGGAAATTGTTTGACTTTATTATTAGAGGGGTGTTAGGTTCTGACGCAGTGTAGTACCACTATTTGAAAGGGTATATAAGATTGCTCTATCAAGTGACCTATCGATCGTGGCGTAGCTGTCAATTTACACCAACAGAGAGCAACGAAAGCGTGCTCAGAGAGGGTGTCGTCTGTGCCGGTTTCTTGCAAGGCCTCCAAAGCAAACGAAAGGATATGGGCGACTTCGCAGGGAGCGTTGATCGAATTATGCGGGCGGTCGCTGTAAGCTGAACTTCAAGCTTTAGATACAACACACTTATATCCCTCTCTTGCCAGACGATTATCGTGCAGTGGATAGTGTGGTGCCGCCGTGGGCTAGCATAAGTCGTAGCAAGCCGGTGTCAAGGCTGTCAGCTAGCTGCTGTAATTCTTTATGATCAGAACACCGTTCCACGTCTTCTGCTAGGTTGGCTTGCCCTTGCAGCAGTAGGTGTTTGTGGAAGATTCTTAAAAAGCTTGCAGTTTCATCCCCTAGGTGGAGTGTTTGGTTTTGAGCAAGCTTCTTATCCAGAGTTTGTTTGGCCTCGGCGAAAGAGGGCATCGCAGAGCTTAAGGTTTCTTGTGCCGACACTTGGTGTTGAGATATCAGTCAGGTCAAGCCCTGCTAGGTTGTTGATCAGTATTTTGGTGCAGTGGCTAAGAGTTAACTAGAATACAGTAGAATGGGTTTGGGTTTTGATATAGAAAGGTCTAGACAGGATGGTATCATACATGATAGAGGTAATAATTCACTTGGATTATTACCTCCTTGAAAATAATCACTGGTTATTTCAACAGTATATATTGTATGATATATCAAGAAAAACGATCAAGTTACTTTTGAAGAGAGCTCATGAAAAAGAACCATCAGAAATTAGATAGTCATACTCTAGTCTATACAAAGCTAAGCTATTCAAAATATATTCAAGAATGTCTTCTAAGTCAACTATGAATATCAACATCTAACTTTATTATTGATAGACGTGCCTTGTAGCTTCTCGGTTCCAGGAGGTCAGATCCAGCCTCATACAGCAACCTACTTGATTGACAGCCGAAACCGATGATATCAGTTAACACCGCCTCCAAAGCTGAGAATGATGAGTGGCCCGAACCAACCAGATGCCATCGGTCCTAACAGGGTGTTATAATTAAGAGCACAGATTGACCGACGTATGATGCAAAATAACAAGCCCCAAGCTCTGGCCTCCACTATATAAGAAGGGAGATACCCCAATCAACATTCCATTCTCATCCATCCCTTGAACCTATTATATCTGTTCCATCACTCCAGCTACCCGAAGTCCATCATAGCCGAGGAAAGACTGAACGAAATGCGCGGCTACAAAGCGTGCGTCGCAGCTCCCAACACACAGATAAGTAGTATAGTAGGTGGGGAGATATACTAAAGCAACACAGCACCCTCAGTAACCCCAAAGTTTCAGACGAGGCCAAGTCGCACGCGCAATACATGCTGGACCACGAACTCGGGGGGAATTCTCGCTGCGCAGGGCCAAAGGTGGAAAACAGTGGAAAAAACTATACTATAGTAGGAAACGCTCTATGATGTCATTCATATATATCGCCTACTCTCTCTGGTCGAGCATTGTACAATGAACGATGGATGATGAGAGATAAACAAGCAGACCATATGCAGCTTGCTGTATACGAGCCAACCGTTACCATGGTAAGTGGAGATGGGATAGGGGCAGTCTACGGCTCATCCAATATTTGGGACATGCTGCTTTGATCCTATTCAGCGCGGCGAGGGGCAAGCACTGAAACAGAAAGAAAGAGTCATCAAGTGGTCGCTATAGAAAATTTGGTATGAACGTGGTCAGGCCGATCAAGCCCGATCATCACCAGGTATGTCTACTTGACAGAATTTTTGGTTTCCTTGATCTTCCTTGGATAGTGTTGTCACTGTGAGCAATGTTATAGTCTTTGGACCTGGCTTGGAGCTCTTCTAGTAGTGATGCAGAAGTCAGAACAGGTATTAATGATGATAGGTATTCTCAACCTTATTACAGAGCGCCCTAATTTTGCTTATATAGGTCTTCATATATACATTGTGAGATTAAACCTAGCATTTCAAGGAGATGATTCCGATTCCCTCAAGGCCACCACTACCCTAGTATAGAATCAATCCCAAGGTGCGAGATATCTATACATCAAGCTCGAAACCAGTTACACACACACTCGTCACATAAAGGACAACCACCATACCAAGCATCAACATATTCGGGTCCATCCTATCCCTTTATTTCTGCCCGGGTAGGTGTGAATAAGCAATTGGACTGTTTACATATTCTTCAAGGGCGCGTTCGTTATCTGGTCAAACAACCTTGCCAGATTTCTTCCCAGAACTAACTGGTCAGCTTAGCCCCAGACGGTCTGCGGGTGACTTCCGTGGATCCTTGCAGATTAGGTTGAGTCTACAACAGGCGGGTCGGGCTCACCGATTGAGCGAACTCCTTCCTGCCATGTATAGAACCGCTCATCCTTTGAACCAGCAGTCAACACGACAATCAGCCGCTGCCATTGTCAATGGGGCGATACAGTAGAACGGCCACTCCTTTCAATCTAACATCCTTGTCAAAACTCTTCCGTCCCTCGACACCATTATCAGCAAGTGGTCGATTCCACAAGTTTAAGTTTCGTTCACCTCCCCGATCACGGTTCACCTCCTCGCCAATGTCGCGTTGCGAAGCCGTTGCAGGATACCAGTCCGTCGGATACAATTGGATCGATGGTGCTGAAAATTTGGAAAAATACGAGCCCGGGGGCTATCATCCAATCCTCATCGGTGATGTGCTCCATGACCGCTACCGCATCGTAGACAAGCTAGGCTTCGGCGGGTATTCAACCGTCTGGCTAGCGCAGGACACGCGCCAGCAGGAATATGTCGCCGTCAAGGTTGGCGTTTCAGAGTCTCTCTCTCTCTCTCAGGAATTGAAGTGTCTCCGAGCTCTCTCTGCTCCGCCAGGACCGGTACGTCCTGGTCATGAGGCGATCCCCGTTCCCCTGGATGAATTCGAGCTCCGTGGACCGAACGGCGTTCATCCGTGCTACACGATGGTTCCAGCACGGTGCGATCTGAGAGAGGTATCGTTTAGCCACTTGTTTCCCCTCGACGTGGCGCGGGCGTTGGTCGGGGGTCTGACGAGGGCGATTTCGTATATGCATTCATGCGGATACGTTCATGGGGTTCGGTTATTAACATTCCCTTTGTATGCTTTACATCTTGAATACTTATCGATACGTGGCAGATATCCACCTTCGCAATATCCTAGTCTGGCTTCCATCCAGCTTCAATCACCTCTCCATTAAACAGTTCTACGAGAAATACGGCGACCCAGATACCGTCCCCATTACGTCCCGGGACGGAACAGCAGCCCCTTTACCACCCAACGTCCCCCCAAATGCGGTCACTCCTCTCTACCTGGGCATAGACGCAGAGGACTTCAAGCTGCACGATGCACACGTTCTCCTCAGCGACTTCGGCGAGTCATACTCCCCGACTACTGAGCTCCGCCGCGGCGAGGACTGCCACACGCCGCTGGCGATGCGCCCCCCTGAGGCGCGATTCGCGCCGCAGGCGCCTCTCTCGTACCCTGCTGATATCTGGAGCTTGACAATCGCTATCTGGGAGATCCTAGGCATGAAGGCCCTCTTTAGCAACGAGTACGTCACTGAGGATGAGATGGTTTCTCAGCATATCGATGTGCTGGGGCCGATGCCTACTCCTTGGTGGGAGCGCTGGGAGGGACGGGGTGAGTTTTTTACTCCGGATGGCCGTCCGATTGAGGGCCGGGAGGTATGGCCTGAGCTTGGACAATCGTTTGAGAGCGGTGTCCAGGAGTATCGACGGAAGTGGCAGATAGGGGTGTTTGGGGAGGAGGAAACTCGGGCGATCCTCGATTTGGTCCGGAAGATGCTGGTGTTTCAGCCGGGGGAACGGTTAACGATCGAGGAGGTTTTGGAGTCGGAATGGATGGTGAAGTGGGTGATGCCTACCTGGAGGGAAGGTCAATTGTGTGTAGGATAGAGCTGTTAACCATCTACCCATGATAAACACAAGATAATAAAACTATGAATTTGAGGAAATTTGAAAGCATGAGATACAGTAAATATGAAGTTGAGAAAAATTACCACTCGGCTACAAAAGATCTATACCATGAGACTTTCCCGCTTTGTGAGTAACATTATATTGCTATAGTTTATTATACAAGAAAATCCAAAGTTTCAGCCACTATTCCAATATATTGATTGACATAATTCTCTATACATACCTATAATTGATGAAGATATTCAAAAATATGCTACAGAATATACTATATACTCTCCCGCATGACCACCACCAACCCCTCACCCACCTTACTTCAACCTCAACCTCTCCCCACCACACAACATCCCACTCCATTCCACAAACAACACATCCAACATCCATCATCCATCATCAAAAATCCATTTAAAACAGAAAGAAAATGACAACCCAAACCAACCCACCACACCCCTCCTCCCCACCACCCCCCTCTCCCCCCACAAACAACAACAACACCACCACCACAACAGATACCAACCAACGCACAGAAGAAGCCAAAGCCGCGTTCACCGCCTCCCTCCGCTCAGCCGGCGCCCACCACGATACCGCCCTGCGCGACCGCGCGCAGACCCTCCGCGCCAACGACGCCGCTCTTCAGCGCCAGGAGGCCGAGCTGGCGCGCACGACTGCCCAGCTGGGCCGGCAGAATGAGCAGTGGGGGAAGGTGGCGGACCAGGCGCGCGATGGGTTGAAGGAGATTGGGGATGTGCAGAATTGGGCGGAGCTTATTGAGAGGGATTTGTTGGTTGTTGAGGATGTTTTGAGGGAGGTTGAGGGGGAGGACCTTCGTGGTGGTCGTGGTTATGATAGTGGTGATAGTGATGGAGGGGAGCATGGGAGGGAGAATGGGGTCGCTGATGGGATGGCTCATGGTAACGGGAATGGGAATGGGAGTGGGAATGGTTGGGTCGATGCTAATGGGCATGTTAAGGTGGACGATGATGATGATGACGATGTCAGTAAGAAGAAAGATGGAAAAGGAAAGGCGAAGGGCTGGTTTTCATGGTGGTAGTTGGATCATTCATGTATACCTACCTATCTGCCTCCAGATATGATTGACGAACTAATGATGACTCTGAACCAATACTATTGATTATTGCAGTACTGTGTATACCCTAAACCTCATTCGACGCATACGCCACCCTATCCAGCCCAACATCAGAAAAGCCCTCCTTCACGGTCCTCACACTCACAAACCGCTGCAAATGCCCCATCGTCCCCGTCTTATCATTCGTCCCCGAGTCCCGACTCCCCCCAAACGGCTGCTGCGCCACCGTCGACCCCGTACACTTCGTATTAAGATACAACATGCCCGCCGCATGCTTGAGCGCCGTCTGCGCCTGCCGCGACGCATACGGATCCCTGCAGAACACACTCCCCGTCAGCGCATACCGCGACGTCCCGTCGACGAGCGCCAACGTCTGCGCCCACTCCGCGTCCGGATACACGTACACGCCCAGCACGGGGCCGAACAGCTCCTGCGTCATGATCTCGTGCTGCGGGTTGCTCGTCCGGTAGACTGTCGGGTGTACGTAGTAGCCTTCGTCTTTGGACGCCTGGCCGCCGGCGATGAGCTCCAGCTCGGGGTCCTGCTCCGCAGCGGTCAACACCGCCTGCAGCCGGTCGAACGCGCGCTCGTGGATCACCGGGTTCACAAAATGCTGGTATTCCTCGACGGGCCCGACAGTGAGCTGCGCGATCTGCTCCTCCAGGTGCCGCCGGAACTCCGGCCATGCCGACTCCGCGACGTACACGCGCGAATTGGCAGAGCACTTCTGGCCCTGGTACTCGAAGGCCGCGCGGATGGTATGCAGCGCGGCGCTCCGGATCTCAGCCGAGGGGTGCACGACGCCGAAGTTCTTTCCGCCTGTTTCGCCTACGACGCGCGGGTACGAGTCGTAGATACCTGCGCCGATGCCGTCACCGATCTTCTTCTGGATGCCCTTGAAGGTCTGCGTGGACCCGATGAATGTCAGCGCGCTGAACTCGCGCCGCTGTAGTAGTGTGTTCGTCACTTGTTCTGCGTCGCCCGGGACGAACTGGATCACGCCGTCTGGGAGACCCGCTTCCAGCAGAATCTGATGCAGTAGCCAGCTGGCGTGTAGAGCCGAGTCCGACGGCTTCCAGATCACAACGTTACCCATCAGCGCCGCCGGCCCGATGAGCGTCGCGCCCAGCGCGGTGAAATTGAACGGCGCGATCGCGTACACGAATCCCTCCAGCGGACGGTATTCCATCTTATTCCACTGGCCTGCGGGCTGCACGCGCGGCTGCTGCGCGAACAGGGCCCACGCTTCGTGGATGTAGTGGCGGAAGAAATCGACCGTCTCGGCTGCGGCGTCGATCTCTGCTTGCCAGATGTTCTTGCCCTGGCCGAGCATTGTGGCTGCTACGATGTCTGAGCGGTATTTGCCGGCGATGAGCTCCGATGCGCGGAGGAAGATGGCTGCGCGGTCTTCGAAGGGAGTGGCTTCCCAGGAGGGTTTGGCTTTCAGGGCTGCGTCTACTGCGGCGTTGACTTGCTCGGGGCTTGCCAGTGCGTATTCGGCGATGGTTTCGCGGTGTTGGGAGGGGTTTTGTTGTTTTAAAGATTGGTGCGTTTTGACCTGTTTCTGTCAGTTGCTTTTCCTCTGCTTTCCATGGCAGGGCTTCTTACTGCGGACCCGTTGATGGTAACCGGGATCTGAACGGGGAATTGACTCTTCATCTTTTGTAGAGTGCGAGTCAACTCAGCCCGCTCCGGCGAGCCTTTGGCATAGTCGAGCTAGACCCATTAGTCGAAGATTCTCCCAAGAAATAGGATAGCGTACCATCTTCTCATTCTCAAACTTGGGCGGGTGCAAGAGACTCAGATATCGGTACATTGGTCGGACAAGTCGGCCCCGCGGCCGGCGGCTGGCAGCACGCATTGGAGGTGAGAAGAAGGCCCGCATGGTGGAGTCTGCTTATTTGGCAAGGTAATAATGTGCATCTACTCTATTTGTAGTAGGAGGGAGGTCTATATTTGTATTCATTCAGCTGCCGCCGCTCGGAGCTGCTGCCGAAGCCCGGCTTCGTTGTCGTGTACTCTCTCCGCATCTTGACCAGTCTTTATGGATCAGTAGCGGGGTGGTGTCGGGATCGTAGAGCGAGAGCTGCATGATCGTGCATCTCAGATAGTTGTGCATGGAATTCCTGCGGTTGGTGTTGGTTCGGGTGTCGATCCCGAGCATCGTGCTATCTTGCTCCGTCAGTTCTTCGGATCCCCTGCCGAAGTACGATCACTCGCGATATATAGAACGGGACCCCATGTTGGACAAAGTGCTCAAATCAAAGCGTCGTTGCACCGCGCTGAATATCCAATGTATCAGGTTGTAAATAGTATATGTAAAATCGAAAGTATGACAAGTCGTATCCCAAAGCTGCACCAGCTCAGCTTTCCATCGCATCACCGTCTTCACCGTCAACTTCTTCCTCGCTGTACTGTCCCATCTCTCCCAAATAATCCCGCCAAACACCCAATCGATCAACAGCGGTCTGATCGCCGTCTTCAAGACCGCCCCCAAACTCATCCCACTCATCCCACTGTCCCAGACTCATCAGATGTCGCATAGTCGGTCGACCATGCGGACAATTCCATGGCTTATCGATCGTTCCCATATTTCGTACGACCTTGACCATCTGTTTCTCCGTCAAGTTTTTCCCGATCATGATGCTGGACCGACAAGCGCGCATGGCGAACATCTTGCGCACTTTCGTCGGGCGCGGGACGTATGAAGTGGACCCTGCGTGACTACTGCTGCCTGCTGCAGGCGTTTCGGATAGCAGCACGATCAGCTCTTCGAGGTCTCGTACCCCGAAGACGACCTCCTTGCTCAAAGGCAGTGACAGCAACTTGCAGCGGCGGCCGATGGGCTCGTCTCCGCTGTCATCGACTTCCACGATGAAGCCGTTCTTCTCTAGGGCAGACTGGTTCTCAATGACAATTTCTTCTTCCACGGCGGTGAGGTCAAGGCGTTTTGGCTGTACGAGACGCTGGTTCTGGACGATGGTTTCGGCCTGTAGACGTTCAAAGTTGAACTTTTCGTCTGAGGCGTGCTGGTCGATGATGAAGAGTTCGTCTTTGGAGTTGGATGGTCCCGACTGTGATGGGTCTGAGGGTCGAGTCGCTAGGATGAAGCCTAGGTTGAATTGGCCGATGATTTGCATGTTCGCGAAATCGTCTTTGGTGACTGTTAGCGAAAGGCGTTCTTCCGCTGTCTCGTGGGATGTTGCAGTCGCGTCCTCGTCGGAGCCATTGGTGGGCGCAGCGGAAAAGAGACGCATGTGTTCTTGGTGCTTCTTTGCCCGAGACTGGATAGTGGAGATCGACCCGTCGATGGTGGTTACCAGCTGGACTGTCGCATCGCGGTGAGCAGCTCCTTTGTTCATTTTGTTCGCTCGGTTGATGTTGCTTTCTTCTGGCACGGCAGCTTTGGCTTCTGCCTCTTGGATTAGTCGTTGGACCTCGGATTCTTCGTGCTTCTTTTTCTCCTCGTCGGTCATGTTCTTCCCGGTTGGTGTTTGGGGGTCTGGAGATGTCCCAGCATCATCCGCTTCAGATATATCATCAACAGCGTCATAGGAACGGTCGCTTTCGTGATCAGAAGTCGCCCGAGATGCTTTACCAAGGGCATGCTTCGCTGGTTGGATGGCTTCTAGTTCCTCTTGTTCTTGCTCACTCTCTTCCTCTTCTTGTTCCTCTTCCCTAACTTCCTCTTCCTCCTCCTCTTCCCCGTATTCCTCTTCTTCTTCGGCCTCCTCGGCTTCTTCTTCCTCGACTTCCTCCTCCCCCTCATCATCAGATTCCTCTAACCTCGCCCCCGGGGCCACAAACCCCCTCATATGCTTCCCAAAGATACTAGGACGAGAAGGTGTATGAATCCGCCGTTTCCGACTGGAAGAACCAGAACCACCGGAGACGCCAACATCATCAGCATCTCGTTTGCGAGCTGGACCGCTTCCCACCATGGACGTAACGGTTCTGTTGCCAATGGTGATGGTGGCCATCTCAGCCGGTGCCCGTCTGGGCCGCATTCGGTCGAATGCGTTTTGTATAGTGTTGGGGGTCTCTTCGGGAGAGTGCACTTCCTGCGTGGCACTGCTTTGAGGGGTGGGGTCGTCGATGCTCATTTGGGTTTCGTGTTCATGTTCTGTGCCTTGGGAGGACTCCAATGCTGATTTCCTGATGTGTGGAGAGGTGTTTTCTGGCACGAAGAGTTCGTTATCCTCGTCGGGTGATTGTTGCCGAGCTTGAGAAGAATGGACTATCGGGGATGAAGGCCCATCCCGCGAGAATGACGATATTTTGACAGACGAGGCTGGCGCGTCTGCTGGGCCACTGCTGATGACGCTGTCCACTTTGTCGTCGGTGGCCGGCTGGCTACTATCCGCTTCTGTATCTCTAGCCGTGTCACTCTCCCTGGCTACATCATTATCGCTAGACAAAGCCATGCTGGATATGCTACGCTGCAATGGCAGTGACCGCGACTTAGCAGTCTGGACCTGCGACTGAGGCACAGTTTGATCCGCCGACTCAAACAGCTGCGTGAGCGACGTCTTGAGCGACTCGATCAACGCGCCCGCATCATGCAGCAGAACCGTTCGCTTATCCGGAGACACGTTAACGTCGTAGGCGCTAGTATCCATGTGGAAATCGGCAAAGACGAACGGCGACTGCGAGACATTGAAAGACTTGTACACTTCGTTGAACGCCTTGGCGATCTGCGGCAGTCCACAAGGACGAGAGTTCACGAAAAACATCTGTCGATCGGGCGTCTGCCGACCCTCTCCGAAGACCGGTCGAGAGACGTGCCCCCGGACCGCAAGCGTGTTCAACTCTCCCGCACTTGCACCCGCGCCAGTCTTGCGATGCAGCGGCGCAGCGGAAGGCTCAAACTCCAGTTCCAGGTCCAGCGGAATCAGCGCCAACAGTGTCTTAGCACCGTAGACATTGGCGATGTTTTCCTTAGTCGTCTGATTCCCTTTCGTCGAAAAAACCACGACATTCTTAGTCTTGCCTGTCGAGTTCTTAACGGTGAACCGCACCCCCGTCATGATACATGCGTATGCGTGGAGTAGATTCAACACCTTGCCATATTCGCGCTTGATGTGCTTCTCCAGCTCGCGACGCCGCACGGGTAGCTTCTTGAACAGACCCGCCACGGCTACCGTCGTGCCCTTCTGGCCTGCAACTATCTGCGTCTTCTTCAATTTCCCTGATGTTTCGAACTCGAGACGATTTGCTTTAGGGGCTTGGTGTGCTTGAGCGGTGATGACGTGGAAATCGCCTAGTGCGCATAGGGATGATAGGGCTTCACCTCGGAAGCCGAATGTTTGGAGTCGGGATAGGTCATCGTAGGAGGAGAGTTTGGAGGTGTAGTGTTTTAATGCTGTAGATAAGATATACAATCAGCATCACATCTTCATTGGACACTGTAGATAGAAGAGTTTCCGGAAAACATACCAAGATTCTCGTAATTCTCCGGCGCGATCCCACCCCCATTATCCTGCACCTCGATCGAATCGAGCCCATTATTCTTAAACCGGACCTCTTCAAATAGCATAAAAACACCACATTAGTAATTCCGCACCCAACACCTCCCGTCCTACAAATAAACCCACATACCAATCGACGTAGCACCAGCGTCAACGCTATTCTCAACAAGCTCCTTCGCGACAGAGCACAGATCGACAATGACCTGACCGGACTGGATTTGGTGGACCTAAACGGACAGGACGTCAGCATGTGGGTGAGGTTTTCGGAAATTGCAAGAGATCAGACGCACCGAACGGGCCTCGATGGCCTTGATGGTTGCCATTGTTCATGCCATGACGAGAGATTTATGGCGGTCGATTGGGAAGACGCGGGTGGTTGATTTGTCGCGTTGGGCGGACCACTTTACGCCATGGCGCGATCAGTAAGCATTGATTATGACGCTGCACAGTTGACTCCTAGGTAGTAGATATAGGTGTAGAAGTGCTTGATAGAGCCATGTCAGTGAATTTCTTAGGTTATCTTATTCTGTTTTCATTTCCAAGTATTACAGTGGTTTATTATTAGATTTATTAGTTAATCCATAGGTGTTGTAGCCCGAAACAATACAAAAGTTCCCCTCTTACTGCAGCTTGAGACTGATTATCCCCTGTCATCAGTGTAATACTGGAGAATAGCATAATAGTCATCGGCATACTTCCCAAGTACAGGAAACCGAGGCAACAGGCTTCATGCACCTAGAATTTGAACCTACTGCCTTGACCAACAGTCAAAGCTACACTATTGGTAGTAGATAACACCGGGGTCGGGCGTTGCTGGACAGCGACTGAGATAAGATAAAGGACTGAACTAGATACAAGTACAGGTAGTAATACATCATCGGAGAGATCCAAGAAGAGGCAGATCGTCATAATGATAGCGATAATCAGAATAAAAAGTAATAAAGTCCACAAAAACAACACGGGAGAAGAGGAAGAATAGTAGCGTCAATAAGTGTGGAAAGTCAGGTCGTGTGTTTTTTTTTGTCTCTCTTTTCTTCCTTTTTCTGTTTCTTTTGATCTCCCCTTTTCTTCCCATAAACCATGTCGTTGTAGTCCCGCAGTATCGTAGAACTTATGGAGAGATCAGGCACCCCGCCAACGTCATGCTGCCCAGACTCCGGCGGTCATTCGCCCGCGGCCTCACCCTAAGTCTGATATCCTGCAGATGAGGGAAGTCGCAGAGGATCGCAGTGAAAAAAACGCAATCAATTCAAAGTGGGAATAGTAAGCACAATTACTCAACATAACAATCACCCTCCCCCCCGCCGTAACCCCATTTTCGTAGATTTCGTTGCTCCGTGTATTGCTGTCTCCAACGTGATCCCCTTGGTCCCATGTCGTAATTAGAGGTAGGGCTCGATGATTCGAGCATCCTGGATATAAGATTGGATAGAGATGGAGAATAAAGAAACAAAGACCGGGGAGACATTAATTTAATCCGAATTTGCATCCAGCCGAATGACGAGAAATGCGATGGGTATCAAAAGAACCAAGGAAGATCGAGGAGTTCAGCAAGTCGGGGGCAATTTTTGAAGATATATTTTTTCTTTTCTTTTTTCTTTTCAATTCCGTCTTTTCTCGAAGAGTCTCTCTTGGTTGCTTTGATCAGAAAAGACGCGAGTCGCGCGGCATTACCGTTGATCGCTGGAAGCCTGGGAAAATGTGTTAAGATGAATAGACTTAAGAAGGGGAGGAATATGCAGGAGGTCGCCATACCGCATCGCTCATTCTCATCCGCTTCGCCATAGGTTCCCCTGGGCTATCATTGCCCACCGAACCACCCAGCTCGCTTTGGTCGGAGACCTGCCGCTCCAGTTCGCTCACACGCCGCTTCAGATCCTCCTCCCGATGTTGGGCCTCCTCGAGTGACCGACGGAGACGGACTTCCGAATCGCGAACGATCATCTCGGAGCGACGCGCGGTGGCGTCGCTCTGCTCCAGCTCCGCGACCCGCCCCCTGAAGAGACCATTGATCAACTCCAGTTCGCTCACACGGGTCTTGAGCGACGCGTTGGCCGCGAGGAGCCCCTCGTATGTCTGCGGCGAGTCGCCTTGGCGATCCGCGACAGCGGATGTGGCTGTCGGCGAGGGCTGGCGCAACTGACCGGGATGAAGGCCATTCGACGAATTGATCGCATGGTCCCCCAGAGTCACGCTGTCAAACATGTGTTGCGGGGCAATGTTGGAGTTGTGTTGCGGCTGTGGTTGGTGCATGGGAGGGATTCCAGGCGTGTCCGTTCGCGACACCGGCGAGTTCGAGCGATCGGAATGGCCCGGGGACATCTTTCGCGACGCGCGACGGTAGCCATGGCCGCCCAGCGGGGGCGTGCCGGCTTCCGATCGCGTTGTCGCGAGTCCATTTGCGTCAGCGGTACCACCAGACTATGATGCGAAAATGCTGGTTAGCGACCGTATCCTCGGAGCCCCGATCGTCCCAGGGTTGAAAAGTTTTCCAGCGGCCGGCTCACCTTGCGTTTGGGGCCTTGCCCAGCGGTCTTGACCCTATTGCGGCTCTTGATCACGTCGGTTTTCAGGCTTATCGGGCGAGGTCTCCCGTGGAGTTTGAGGAAGAGCCCACAGGCGTTACAGAGGACGGAGCCGAGTTCATCTCTGCGCCAGAGGGGTGTGGTGGACGTCCCGCAATTTTGACACACGGGCTGTAAATGAGGACGTTTGTGGTCAGCCAATGTTGTTGCCATGATAGTCGGAAAATGGAGGATTAAAACACCCGAGGGAGTTGGGAGCGAAGGGAATAGATAATGGATGAGAGGAAGAGCGACAAGGTGATAAGATCGGGAGAGATTTGATGGGCTGCTGCGATAAGACCGGGCGCTGGGCGGGTGGTGCGGCGCCAAGACCCAGTCGGCAGCTGATAACAGATTTGGGAGAAAATTCGGGGCAAAGGCTCCAGGGTGCAAAATCCGCATATCGTCCACGTAGATAAGACCGCGCTCGCTCGATAAGGGGTACAACAGGGCGAATCGATTTACTTACCGGACTACTTCCTTGTCCACCGGTCGTCGCTGCCGGTGACGATGTCGCGTAGGTCATATTCCCCATACTGGGAAGTCCATTGCTTCCGGAGCCGCTAGACACATAAACACCACCCATTAGCAATTGAAACACGATCAACCACCCCTGTTTTTCTTTCCGCTTTTGAGAGATTCTGCCGGCGATGATGCGCGGCATGATCTATGATATACAAATGCAGGGTCCCATACGTCGCTCGCCCCAGTTATCTCGTAAAGGACTGTTTAGAGCGCGAGGGTATTCAGCGAGTCACATACCGCAGATTGGAAGTCGGCGCCGATGCGACCGATGCTAGAGCCGATAGTCCTGGAAGCGACGGGCCTAGCGAGCTGGAGAAGCTGCCACCGTTGTTGCTGCTACCGGGACTAAGATTGGACTTGTCTAGAGAACCTAAATCAGGCATTGGCGCGGAGGTTTGTGACGATGCGGATGACGCACCCACTGTAGCATCCGTCACGGACGGACGGTCGGTCGAAGAGCTATCAATGGGAGTGGAGGTTTGGTTGTAGGACAGTTCGTGGGACTGGGTCGTGGAGGGCGATGGAGGCCGGAGGGCAGGGTCAATGGGCGAGGCCCGGAACAGAAGTGAAGCCACCGTGAAAACTTCTTGGGCGGAAGTCAATATAAATCCGGCCTGCTAGGACCGAACTGAGATCAATTCGAGGGATATCACGGAGGCAAGTGTGGTTCGACGCGGCGACGGTCCAAGAGGACGATGGATACCGGAAATACCAGCCACGTCGAAACAGGAAGGGAGGGATTATGGGACGCCTTCGCGATATGTTCCACCAGTCGCAACGAGGAAAAAAGGCTAGAGATCCTGCTTATGTTTTATTTTCGCTTCACTTGTTCTGCTTACCGATCGATACAGGTCAGAATCAGCCAAATAAGGAGCGATAAAACCTCGACGGACCTTAGAAAACAAGAAGATCGACCCCGACAGTAAACGACCGCGAGGAATGGAAATTGGTAGAAACGAGATTGAAAGAAATCGCAAATGATCCAAAAGAACGAGGAGGATGCGATTGACAACGCTGGAAAAGTCGCAGTTGGTGGTGGTTTGGTCGTTCGTCGGTAGCAAGGCTAACAAAACGGGGGAAGATTGATTATCGCTATCGCGCGTCCTCGGAGACTATCGATTATTTATCGAAATCGCAGGCGGACCGACTGGCTTGGCTTCAATCTCACTCGGTATGTATTGCAATTATGGGCGTTTGCCTGCTGGTTTTGTTTTTTACTCTCTTATCATTTTGTCTGTTTGTTTCGGAAATTATTTGTTTCTTTGCTTTATATTTTGTCTGATTACGTCGCAATTGACTGCCTACTGACCTCAGCTTTGTGTGACGACCAATGATTTTAACAAGAGATGACCAAGGCATGGGTATCCGATCGAGTCTAATCTAGTCTCCCACCTCCTACACAATATGACAAGGGTTATAACCAAACACGGGATGGGAATGAAAGGAGCCTCGAAAGACAGAGACGCCAACAGGGGACGGAAACTGGATCTTCTCGCTATCAAGGAGACCGTTCCTGATAGGTAAGGAATGTCTTCTGTTCCAATCCACAATGCCAAATTCCTCGGTTGTCCTCAGTTACGTGGTAGACGTTCGAGACCTGTAGCGGTGTTCAATGCCATCACAACAAACAGGATATGGACAAGTATGTGTAAAGTCGATACTGGCAGTCCATTCCAATACACGGCAGGATATCATTACCATCTATAGATATGGGATGAGCCCCTCATGGGAAACAATCCATTGGAACCTCGGTTTGGAGGGGAAGATGAAAACAATGATAAAAAATAAAATAAATAAAAACGACGATAAATCGGGTCAATCAGCCTAGTACACCTCGCTGTAAGTTTGAGTAAAAACTGATGCTACAATTCCTCTGGCCCAAGAATAGGGTTCGAGAACATATGATTGTTCTAGGGGGATACTTGGACTGAGCCCTGGAGGGTGCCTGGGGATGCGTGCCTGGGGATGCCAAGGCTGCTCATAGGGCTTCACGGATGGAGTACATATTACCTTCATTACCATCAAAACACTTCTAGATGCGAAACCATCATACATGGTGCATGGTTTATCTGCATCTCGAAGTTGGAGGCCAGAAGACCATGTGTTCTGTTACAGAACCAGATGGAGATTTGAGACATTCCACCGCGGCCACTGCATTCGACTGCATTATGGCTACTCCGTACAGCGGACTCCACAGTACTTCGACTCTCCGCAGACCTTATCAGGATCGCGATAAATTGATATTGAAAAGTCAATTCATGACCGTTATTGATAGAAAATGAGATAGAACAAGATAGATGCAACTGTAGTGGATTTGGATTGTTCACACAATACATGAGGACATTTAGTATTTTTATTACACATCAGTTGGATGTTGCAACATAAAACAAATCATAAAACATAAAACGTATATCAAGTGGACACATTTTCACGTGAATAACGTGATAGGGCCAGTATTGTCAGGATACAATGTCAGTATTTGATGTTTTCTATGTTATGCTCAATGATTTATAATTCATTTATGTAAATTTATGCCCCTTTCTCCTTCCAAAATACAATCCAATTTTCTTCCTCCAAATATCCCAGTGTCATAAATCCTGGATAACCATCCCTTTGCCAATCATTCAGGGGCTTTTTTAAGCTCCAGTGGAGCTACACGGTAAATTATGTGGCGGTGCGACAATGCGGTATCATACGGTAATCCCCATGTGGCTGATGGGGACATCGACCGGACTTTGGCAGAAAACAGCCAGGTATGGTATGGTACGTGATCAAAATAAACCCGGGACCCCCAGTTAATTAATGTGTTGGCCTAAGGACAGACAGGACTTTGTCCGCGGTCGTCATCCACCAAATCGTGGACGCAACTTGCATTCGCCTTAGTTCAACCCATTTTTGACCCTTTCTTTCGCCTTCTTTTCTCACCATCGTTCAATAACGGAGTAATGCCTTGAGTTGTATTGCTTTCCTTCTTCTGTCTTATTATTTCCCTTTTTCTTTCCTTTCTTTACTTCCTTCAATTCCTCCCAATCCTAACCCGCTACCACCCCCCCCTTTCTTCCATTCTCTTCACTCGTTCGTTCGACAGTGGTTCGCTCGTTTGGTACTGTCTAACCTTCAGATGGTGTCTTGCCTCCCACGCCTCCCCAGCGCATAAGTGATACCTCCACCCGACCATCATGCCGAAGAATCGACCCGCAACGTCGGGATACGCCCGCCTCGCTCAGGAGGAGGAAGATCGAACCCAGGATGTGTACGACTATTCAGAAGACGACGACGATGTGAATCAAACACCGAGCACGATATCCCAACCCGCCCAATATGCCCCGATCTCCTCCCGAGCCCAGATGCAGGCGTCCGCCCCGGATTATCGCCGGAGGCACAGTGGGCAATACCGGCGGGGGCGGCGGAATTCGGGCGTGGATATCAAGGCCATCAATGCGCGACTCGAGCGCTGGGCCGAGGAGATCGCCTCCAAGTTCAAGATCAACCGTGTGAAGGGGAAGACAACGGAGGAGGAGAAACTGGAGATTCACCACTCCGTCTTCCAGGCCCCCGACGGTGTGCGGCCCATCTCCGCCGAGACCCTTGAGTCGGACGAGGTCGAGGGGGCGGCGCGCCGAGCGCGCGACGAGTTTGAGGAGGTCGTGGAAAGCGTGCGCCTCGCCATTGAGCTGGGCGTGCAGCCTCGCATGATCTCCCAGGGAAGTTCCGGCAGTTATTTTGCGCGCAACACCGAAGGCAGAGTGGTCGGGGTCTTCAAACCCAAGGATGAGGAACCCTACGCGTCCCGCAACCCGAAATGGACCAAATGGATCCATCGCAACCTCTTCCCCTGCTGTTTCGGCCGCGCGTGCCTGATTCCGAATCTATCGTATGTCTCCGAGGCCGCCGCCTACGTCTTGGACTCTCGCCTCAATACCAACCTCGTTCCCTTTACCGATGTCGTCTGGCTGTCGTCCAAGTCGTTCTACTACGACTTTTGGGATCGGAGAAAGGCCTGGATGGGCAAGAAGCCACTGCCCTCCAAGGCGGGTAGCTTTCAAGTCTTCCTCAAGGGCTACAAGGATGCGAATCTGTTTCTGCGCGACCACCCGTGGCCCGATCAGAACAACACGGGATTCCGTACGGAGGATGCCCCCAAACGCAAGAAGCGGCCTTGGAACGAGGCGTGCCGGCCATCCGGGGCCGTGTCCGATGACGAAGATGAGGAAGACTTTGAGACTACGCAGATCCCGTCTCCCGGAGAGGAAAGCCGGGAGCAGCGGTTCTACTGGACGGAGGGCTTGAAGCAATCGTTCCGGGAAGCGCTGGAGAAACTCGTGATTCTGGATTATATCATGCGAAACACCGACCGCGGTCTGGATAACTGGATGGTCAAGATCGACTGGAAGACGGAAGAGGTATCCATCGTCGCCGAGCCCCCCAAACCTAACGGAGTCCCAGCTGAGGACGATGATGAGCATCTGGTCCCGCCTCGACCGGTCTCGGTCAACAAGGAGCGCACTGCCTCGGGCTCTCATCCGTACCGACGACACGAAATGGTGGCCATTAGCCGCACGGGAACGCCGTTGAACTCTTCGGAGCCCCAAGCCTCCATTCAAATCGGTGCCATCGACAACAGTCTGTCGTGGCCGTGGAAACACCCTGATGCTGTAAGTACCCCCTCGCCAAGATAGCTCTGCGCGAGGTTGCGGACTGGACGCTAATTCGACTGCGTAGTGGCGGAGTTTCCCCTTTGGATGGCTCTTCCTGCCCGTCTCCCTGATCGGACAGCCCTTCTCCCAAAACACGCGCGACCACTTTTTGCCGCTTCTGACTTCGACGGCGTGGTGGAGCGGGACTCAAATGGCGCTCCGGCGTGTCTTCTCGCAGGACGACGACTTCAAGGAGAGCATGTTCGCGCGGCAGATCGCAGTCATGAAGGGTCAGGCGTGGAACGTTGTCGAGACTTTGAAGCACCAGGACCACGGCCCGCTTGAGCTCACGCGGCGCCCCCGCGTGTGTGTCTGGGACGATCTGGTGGACGTCCCCGTCGCCATTCCCCTCCGTGGGCCGTCGACGGACGCGCAGAGGCGCAAGGTGAGGAGTTACGAACGTTACGACACACATGATAGACATGAACCCGACGACGAGGAGATGGACATTGGCGCCGCCAAGTCCATGGGGCAAGAGCCCGAGAGCGATCTCCTTGGCCTTGGTACCTCCTCTCCCAGCGATTTGCCCAACCCAAATCGATTTGAGCTCAATCGCCCCCGAGACTCGAGCGTGACTGCGCCCCAGAACGGCAGCCCGGTCACCTTGAATGACTACCGGTTCAGTCGGGAGAGTATCGATGGCGCGGGTCAACGGGACTGGCCTTCCCTGCCTCCGCGATCCAACAAC